AACTGTGTCATCCTTCAATTTCATATTTCTTTTTTATATCATCGACTTCTGTAGACATTCTTTCGCTCTTGTTTTATTTTTGATTTTTTAAATTTCTTCCATCTGCATATGAAGAAAACCGAATGCCGTTATGTATATTATTTTTCCTTCCTTGTAGGCGGTTTTGATTTCCAGAATATCTTTGGGAATCGTCAGTAGGGGGAGAGAATCTGTATCACACACGAGAATTTTTTGGAGCAATGTTGTAAAAGTCTCTTACGCATTTTTTGTTATTTTTTATATTTTCTTGAAGTTTACTGAGTGTTTTGAGCGACATCCATAGTTGAATGAGCACAAGCCTTTTCGAACGATTTTCGTCACTTCAACCCCCTTGCGCTTGCTACAATAACCCCCCCCCCCCCACCCTTCCCCCTTTTCCCGCTATCAGCACATTCCAGGTTCTCGACCTCACCAACCTCATTCCGCTCGATTTATCGATTTTAACATGTCGTGAATGTTTCGTTTCGTGCATTCTCTATGTCGATAGCGCATACTCAAGGACAAACTATCGTAACAATTCGATTTTTGGCGGGCTCTTACCTTTTACAACATGTGTGGTTTCATTCCATTGTGGTAAACTTGTGTAGTTAGAAGAATGGTCTTTGAGAGTGTGATGAATATTTGCAAAGGTTGTTTTACAACTTCAGTGTAGTTTTTACAATTTCAAATTATCACTGCTGCTAGCAATTCTCCTTCTTGATCCAATACGATATATGGAATACTGTACCTTAAAGTTTCTTCCTCGATGATCTCCTTTGCTTGCTTTTTGCGCGAATTTCGTGTATCAAAATAACATCTGGCCATGACTCGTCACTGACCACAGCTTGTCGCTCAACCCTTCCTATAGCATGGCCTAGGTTTTTCTAGAAGTTTACATCCCTTGCCTCCCCCGTAAACATTAGGAAGTTGAATTAGCAATCTCTTCAGTCTATCTTGTCCTTCTATAGCGTATCAGTGGTGTTTCTATGTTTGTTTCGGTTACGATTTAGGCCATACGGGCGTGGTGCATGTCATCTTTGCTCTTTGTAACAGCAGATTTACCGCAGTATCTGTGACACAACTTGCCGTTTTTTAAGGATTACTGTAATGCGCAGGTCCTGCTTTGTTCTGAGGTGATTGTTGAATGTGGGTTTAGCGCTTCAGACTTCAACATCTATTCTTGTCCATCTCAGAAAACTTCGTACATCACTGACCTGACATTTTTTTCTACCACATCTCTGAACAAAGTAGGACATAGAACTGTAACAGCAATTCCGCCCTGGCATGTCGCGACCTCTTTTGAGTTGTATAGGGGGTCCCCACGCAGTGTCCTCTTTCCAAACGTCCACATACACATCGTTGTGTTTCCGAAACGACTGTATACTTTTGTATCGTTTTCGTTCATTTTGCTTCTTTAAGGTCATGTAAACATTCTTCTTCTCTTTGTAGTAATGATTTGCTAAGCAACAAAGACAGTGGAAATCATGGTTCCCATTTTTCGCGCCATATATAGGTGTTGCGCCCCACTTGACCAGGGGTATGACTGCACCCTGTTTCAAGCTAAAAATTCGAGAATAAAAAACGAGTTTTTTCACGAGTCAGCTTGCGCGTTGCGCACAAAGTCAGGACAAAACGTCAAACGTGCGCTGAGCGATGACGAGGTGCAATCCAAACAGAAAGGTCACAGAAATCGCGCACTTCGCCGAAAAGCGACACGAAAGCGCGCATAGACGGGCGTGTGCTGCGAAAATCGCCGCGTCTAATGCGGCTAAGATCTCTCGGCTTCACATCGAATCGGCTTGTTATCCGACTAAACATCCAGATTTACGCTATATTGATATGTTTCTACGTCAGATGCTATAGGATACTGAATTTTCTATCCTATCATGATTCATTCGGCCCGTTACTCATTCTCTTGACCTACCTGTTGATCATCGTAGATCATCGTTTGTATATGTTGTGTGAGACTGCACGCGTCGCGTGGTACCACACGACTTTTGACTGCTAAGTAGAAAACCTAATGATGAATGTATTGTTTGTTTGCTGCAGGCCCGCAAGAAGGAACAATTCTGGGGAATACCAAGGAAATTGACATCTTGTAAGCGCATAGTTATAGTACGATATATGATGTGTAATTCACATATGAGGCTACAAATGATTTGATTGCATTATAGTTTACCACCAACTTGTGTAATTGCACTGTTTTTGAGGTCTTTCCGTAGAGCACGCGATGACTTTTGACTTATTCAACATGCTTAAAAGAACATTACTCAACGGCGAAAAAGTAACACGATAAAGATTGCACAAAGCGAAAAAAAAATATCTTCTTTGGATTTGTGACTGCCAGTGGCTACTTGAATTTACATTTATAGCCTAGACTAGAATACTTCGTTCTCATGTCTGGGTCTATAATTGATGGGCATGGAAATATCCAAAAACATCAGTAACATTACTGTGAATTTCCGTTGCATCTGGGCTTTAGACTTCTGATTACGTCATGACCCCATCTTCCAAGGATCTCTATCGCAAATCTTTTTTTTTTCATTCGTTTTTCCCATCAGTATTTGTTCTGCACTCTTCCAAACAATACGACGTAAAAATTTTTTCCAAAGTCAAGAAATTAAATGATTTTAGTTCCAAAATCGTAGTTGGAACTTCTATCGTCGTAGCACATTGTCGTTAATACTGTCGTATATGATACATCTTTCTTTCTCGCAGATATGAAGAGCAAAGATCAGTACAATGCTTAGAATTTGTACTCTCATTGTTTCTTTTTAAATATAGATCGTCGCGTCTCCTATCCTTGATCTTACTTCTTTTGTGGGCTTATTTTACGATAAAGTCAAAATTTCTAATGGAAGTCCACTAGGTTTTCAGTCGTAACAGCCCTGCTGACAAAAGCGAATATGCCAGTAACATTTAAAGAATAATCAAACTGTAGTTGTTAATATGTCGTAGTAAAATTCAAAAAAAAAATTTTTTTCTGCAAGGTCATATTACCGCAGGTTGTCCAGCACTACATTTCTTTGGTGCATATATTGATTTACTTAGTTGCTCCACAGAAGAACGGAATACAAACGTTGTAGAAGAAATTTTTTTTTATGTACAAGAGTTATTATCTCACATTTTCATCCCCACTAGTTGCAAAAGAAGAGACGAACTGTGCTGCCTTGTTTTCAAACTCTTTGAAGAAAATACGCACGTAAAGCTTTTCTATTTTTCGACTCAAGTTAGACATGCCTGGAATTATTTTTGTGTTGACATTTTAGTAGCTCGTGATGCACATGATCATGGGGTACATTACTTGCAGCTTTTTGTTTTCCAATTTTTTCATCCATTTGTGTATCTATGAAAACACACGAACCTCTGATCATTACACGTAAATCTCATACGTTACACCTTCTCTCAACCAGTAACCACATGTTGATCTTAGCGCACATCCTCAGTTATTGTTATGCTGTTTTATTTCAAATGGCTAAACAAACATCCTCAGTGGTGGATAGCTATGTATATGTGTTTAGGAAGCAAAATTTTTCTTTGCAGTATCTTATCAGGGCCTTTTTTGCACATTTGCAGCTTTTTGCCATCCTGGAAGCTGCGTGCATTGGTTTTATGAGCACGTGTCAACATCGTTTTTAGCCTTCCTCGTGATTAATATGTACTGTTTTCTTCCAAAAGTCACACCGTATGTTTCTCTCTCCAGTTTAAATTCTGTACCTTGCGGTGACTTTATATACCTTTTCAAACCTGCATATTGCTGAGAAGTGGGTGGTAACTTTGCCAGGCCGGGCTCATATCCTAACGTTTTACATGCTAAGTCCATCTAAGATCCTCCCTCTTTACAATCTAAATATAACGTAATTCCATTTATACTCTAAAATACAACATATTCAACAACAAATATAAAAAACCTTCAGAATCAAATTTTTGAATTATGCACACATAATTTTCACGAACAACCAAAAGTTTAAAGTGAATAAACGGTATTCTGAAATGTTGAAACAATTAAAACAAACATCTTAAAAATAGTTCATTTTTTCTCGCCACACACAGAAGAATCTACCGCAAAAGAAGACTCGCAGTATAAAAGATGAGTTTTTAATATTTTTTCGGAAATTTTCAACCAAATTGATGTGGACCCTCTTTCCCTACTGAGGAAACCCGGAGATGGTCTAGAAACAAATATCTGTCTAAGGGAAGGGCCGAAGCGGAAAATCATAAAAGATTTTCTTTATATTACTACAAAATACAGAGAGTTCAGTCCTTCCCAATCATGTCACAACGCTTTAATAATTTCGATTGAGGTATGCATCTCCGGTTAACCTTTTCTTCTCTGTGTGACTTTTATATTCGTTTATTCTTCTATCTTTCACACGTGACATTTACGAACCAATTATCCCTATGCTACGACATTTTATTGCTTCGTATTACTCGATTCTTTGGCACATCGGTTTTCGGTGTGTTTGAACATTGATGACATTTTGGCGAGCAGAACTTGAAAACCATTTTTTATCCTTCTTGAGGAAAGTATTTACTCAGTAGAAATTGCGTGAGTTTCATGTGCAGAGCTTATCTCATATAATTACCTTTTAATTTATTCTGATTTACCTCTATATTGTTGTTTGAGGCATAGCTTTATTCTGCCAATCACGACCACTTATTCTCGTGAAAGGGGGGGATACGAATCTGGAATTTTATCTTCTTACATGTTATTACGTCACTCATTGAAAGATCTGTATAATTTTTCAGCTTTTTTTCTGCAGCATATCCACTTTTCGTTTTATTTCTGTCGCTTGCTCCGCATCATTTTCCTGAAACTCGCGATTTCCTTATCTTTCGTGATAAAAGAATGTTTTGGCTGGTACTGAACGGCCGAGCAATCTGCTGTTCTCGCTAATCTTTTCCATCCTAAACATCCACTTATTGAACGAGCTCTAAATATTGCTTATCCTAATTAAGTGATTGAATATAAACCCCTTTCAGCATGCGATGAGTAGCTTCGTGCCAGACAGCCCTACCTGTCGAGCGAAGTACAAATCAGTCATGAATCTTCTACGACGTGCGCTAAGGATACGAGATCCTGTAAACAGTATGTTTTATGCTTTTGTAAAAAAAATTCTAAGCGTATCTCTTTTGTCATTTCAAAAATGCGATACTTCGATAATCACGATATCTCGACTATGTTAGAATCCTATATTCAGTTTTTGCGGGCTCCACCAGGGCTCGGCACAGCTGACACCGGGTCAAGCTGGATATCGTTTTTGGGGCAAAAAAGACACAAAAATTGCGATTTTTCAGTCGACGTTTCGTTTTCAAGGTTTTTTCCGTTTAGGGTTTAGGGTCAAAGAGGATTTCGTTTTGAAATTTTCCTCGTGCCATCGTGCCGAGCGCTGGGCTCGACAGTTCTTTTTTTGACGTTCATGACTGTTCTAAGCGTTATCTGGGGAGGGGGTGGCGAAAATCTTCTTCGACCTGGTTTCTCGCTCACATCAAAGCGGAATGGTATGAGTAATGCCCTTTGAAGATTTTTGAGGTGCTTCTCAAACCTAATTTTTTTATCACAGCTCTTTCCATGCTTGTGATTTTGCTAGAAGAAGACATGACTTCCCCGAAAAATATTTTTAACGATTTTTCAAAATAATTTTTACGAGGTTGTTTACATTTTTTCAAAGAGAAAGTCCTGAATCTGTCCAGTCACCTCACAATTTGTCGCAAATCTACGCAAATTTGTGTTTATGGACATTATTCTTGCAATGGACAGTCATAGAGTTGAATTTTGTCAGTGGCAGCGGAACAAAAATGAGATAAGAGAATCTCTTTATGCAAGTTACATTGTAAAGTTATGTAGCGTGTTGATCTCACTCTGTCGAATTTTGCTGGTTCTCAGAGTTGACATGCAGTTCATAGGGAAATACGCAAGGTCGAAAATAACTTCATCTTGTTTTTTTTGTGTTTTCAAATGCCAGAGCTAATAAGGGAATGGTCAGAAGTCGAAGTGGCCGAACCAAAGGAGCTGTATATCATTGGATGCAGCATAAAACACTGACTTCGAATCTGTCTTCCTTATCTGCTTCCCGCTTCTGCGAACGGAGCTACAAGCGGTTTTATTGTGAAAAAATCATACATAAAAACAACGAAATTGAGCAGATTGTTGCACTTTTAGCTCAGCTACTGGCTTCAAAAATTTTCAGTAAGCTAGGTGCATGTTTTCGCCCAGCACTGAGGCGAACCTGCTCTGTACGGCTAAATTTTCAATTTCACGCATAATTTCTTAGCAAAATAATGGTCTTTAATGGCTTATAGCCAGAGAAGCGATAAGCAGGTAAGGAAGGGAGATTTAGAGTGAGCGCTTCATGCTTTATCTAATGGTACCCAGCTTGTCTGAAATGGCCACTTCGATTTCTGACCATTCCCTTGTAAGTAGCAAGTCTTGATGATAGAGCACACAAGCTTTGAAAATGTTTAGCCTCTTGTTGTGTTATATTTTATATTATCTTCAGACCCAGCAACTTCGCAAGTGAATTGCAACGGAACCCGAAAAAAGGTCGCCTCAAATGGCAACTGTCACCGTCCAAGTTCGTTGGAAACGATTTCGGTGCAAACTGCCTCTCCCATCGGTAGGGCTATAAAGCATAGGTTTTCTTTCTTCAAAAAAAAATCGCATCATTTTACCTAGTGCCGTAGCAATAAGAATGTCAAAAGCTGGACGCATACGATTTATATTGCATTTGCCCTTTGACTAATCAGGATTGACGGCTGGAAGGCGATCGCTCGCACCCGCGACGCAGTCTGCGTCTCTCTCACGAGCGTGCTCTCTAATCACTCCCTGGCCTTAGTTACGTTTCGAAAACCCTGCCTTCCAGCCGCTAATTTAAGTCAATGAGTATACCTATGGCCAGAGCATATTTGGATTTTAGCAATGATGTTTGAACGGTTAGCATTCGCTTCGCTTTTGAGAATTCTTGAACAATAAGCGCCGTAGTTCTACTAGCATACCTCCGTCGCGAAATATTTTTTGCAGCAGAGATATGGCGTCATCCTCGTTCAAAAACTCATATGTGAAGAATTTTTGCTCATTTAGCGAATGTGTTGATATTGTAAGTCAGACATGAAGAAGTTGTATAGCGAATTGCTCTGGTTACTTTGCCCGGTGTGACGAAGCTACTCGTTCACCTAGCATAGCATCTTAATCTTCTTTATTCTTACTAACATTCTCTAATAAATTGAGGCCAAACCATTATGGTGGTGAAAAGCTGATTTCACAAAGGGCAATCATAGATTTAGAAACTTTTCCCTTGAATTGACGTGATCATTGTATGTCGAGCGAAAAATGTCTCTCATTTGATATCAAATGCAGATAATCCGTGGGGAAAATTTTTCCAAAAACGATTTGCTAAGGGTGACTCAAAAAATGTAAGCGTTTTTGGACATATTTGGCAAAAAATCGCGCTATCAGTTGATGCTACTTGAGCAGGAACACATGACTGAGGTCTTGTTAGAGCTGCTGGTTTTTTTTTTCATAGAAAATCTGTACAAATTTTCTATTTTCATTTATAGCTAACAGCGATGCCGCTTCAACCTCACGCGAGTCTACGCCTTCTATAGAAATCGCTCCATCTCTCTACGAGGATCCATTTGTTGCTGTAACTGTTGATGGTCTGATTTTCGTCAAAAACTACAACGTCTACAATCAAAGAGCGGAGTTCCATGGAGAATCAATAACACTGCCTTATGTGGTGAATTAGCATAGTTTCTGATGTATTTTGGGATTCAGCTTTCACTATTTTTGATTAATCGGCAAAGTGAATATAACAAAGAAACGTAAGAGTAACTTTTTCTAGCAAAGAGTGTCCCGAATACTGAAAATTTCCCGTCTGCGTACAATCTACTATGCAAGCCCTCCAGAATGTAAGGACGTTCAAGCATGCAAACCATGGGGAATCACTTGCAATGACGTTTGGTGGGCTAGCCATCTAAACAGGTGAGGTTTAATTTTTTAATGGAAAAAATATTTCGTTTACCCAGTAAGAAACAATTTACCCAGTAGATATGAAAAGCCCTATATACAAAAAAAATTCAACTAGTTTTCGAGGCTCTAAATCGGAAAAATCGTCTTTCTCAGATTAATTCAAAATCACTGAGCAGTCCTTCTCGAACATGTCTTCAAATTCTATCTTCAAAAATCCCTAATATCTACCACAGTATTGACGAATATAAACTACCATGTCTACGTTCTTATGGTGGAAAGTGGGGGGGGGGGGAATGTGCTCAGAATCCTTACGAAAATTTTATGTTTATTTGTGTATTCTCTCTGTAACAAAATGATTTGATAAAATGTTAGTTTCGGACCTGCCCTTCAAATTCAAATTTTACGTGATGTCTCCTGGTGTTAGTCTGCTGCTACACATTCACGGCTACATCGTTTTTTCCGATTCTTCCATTTAGTACCATACTCGGAAATTGTTCAAAATTTCTCTCCACGGCAAGATTATGGTTATCTTGCGAAATTCTCAAAGTAGGAGGTCATTATTATATCATTCGCGAGAAACTGTGTTCCGCGTTTCTTTACGAGTTTCACTTCTGTGAATCAAATCTCAAGAAAGTTATGTTGAATAAACAATTGTACTTTCGCTATTCGCTATCTGTTTTTATTCGTGAATCAGAAAACTCATCAAACCATGTCTACAACAATTCATACACTCCTCTGAGTGAAGCATATTTGTTTTCAGACAAGAAGCTTGCAATCACTTCTACAGTGTTGTGCTCGATGATAAAACCACGTTACGTGCTGGTTTTTCGGTGGTCTCTCTCGAAACTTTCATCGAATCGTTACGATACCTCGGATTGAAGCCAGATACGAGGTATTCTAAACAATAGTAACTGGATTCAAAATTTGTAAATAAGAAGATGATAGTAATGAAGCAACAAGAGCATTATAAGAACGCGGTGTAGTTCTTTCGTCGCAGATCCTCCTCTGTAAATCCGTAGTAAATGAATTTTGTTGCTTTACGACTTTTGTTTGTATAGAAAACTGAGATCTACTCTGGGCGTAGAGAAGCTGTACTGGCTCGCTTACCTCGTCAATAATCGCTTAGGAACTGGTTCATGAAAAAACTGTTAGAATTGTTTTTCGCAGTTTCATCGCTGGCCTTCCACATGTTCCGATCAGTATGATGAAAATACCATTCATCGATGAAGAAGATGGAGACTACTGTAAGTTTTTTCTTCTGAAGCACAGATGTTGATGTAGACGGACACACTTCTTTTACAGCTGTTGAAGCACTCTAGTATTCATCTCGGGACATATTTTGATGCATGTAATGTGAATCTCAAGATAACCTCGTTTTGTGAAGAACAGGAAAATTGACTGCTTTCCTTTGATAGTATGTGGGATTGCTCTGATTTTGAATTTTTGCATGGAAGAACCAGTTGTGTACTGGTCTTGGTCCAGCGCAGGAGAGATCTCTGCATGTGCATTTCCTGATCATGTTTGAAAAAATGTGTAAAATTATGGTTAATCATCTGTCTTTTTGGCTTCATGTACCTCATTTTTATTGCTATGCATGGATCATCTACGTAATCTTGTTGTTGGGTCTTTGAAATGTTTTCTATAGATGAGCGTATTTTTTCTTGCTAGAACGCCAAGACGAGGCCAAACTTAAACTTTTTCTTTAGTTAATCGTTTCTTTTTGATGGAAAATTATGTCTTGGCTTCTAGCTCCTTGTTCCTATAAGGCATATCCACCCCTCACGCACAGTGCTCGATGCTTCTCTACGTATCTGACCGTTTGACTTTCTTTTCCCCCCATAAAGCTCAATTATGTTTGATCTTATGAGTACGTAGAATAGCGGCTAGTGGTATCGGTAAAGTGGATCAGTCGGGTCATTGTGTTCTATCACCATCATAAATACGCTTTGCAAACTCTTTTTTGGGCAGGGTTTCTGCTTTAATCCATTTTTTTCCAAAATCTCTTCATCATTCTAAGCATCCCTGACCGTTTCAAAAATTGTATAACGTCTTCAGCGAATTCTTTGTAAGCTAACACCTGTCGAACGTGTACGTTGCATATCGACCCAACCGTTGTTCAATCTCTCATTACATATCTCATCTCTGTGCGTGTTTACAAAATTGTGTACTGTACCTCAGGATTGTGTTTGAAATTCTCTTGTACATATATCTTTAGTCTACTCACTAGAAAAATTCTACTCAAATTTCTACAGACATTGTGTAAGGCACGACTAAATGAGTCAGTATTTTGGTTCCGATATGTAGCAGGACTATCAAACTGTTTTGCTTCGGCAGATTGTAAATACTTTCCTCCGAATGAGTATTCTTATTTTTCCACTGATGAATATTTTATACACAATAAAAGGGTACTAATACGACTCTTATGTGAAGCACATTGGAGAAGATCGTTGTGCACATGATCATCATCGCAATGAATAATTCTTACCAGTAAAATTCGGTTGAACAAACTTCCGAACGTTTGTTCACTCTTCTCCCCACACTTTCTCAAGGGCTAGAAGATTGTGGAGCCGCAAAGGATTTGAAAGCGTCCTAAAAGATCTTTGGAAGGAGTGACTAACGGCACCCCCCTTCATTTGGAGAAAATTCTACCTTACTTCCCCTCCCTCCCCCGCAGAAATTTTTTCTTATCGCCCGCCTTCAATATAAGTTATATGGATTTGCGGTTACATCCTTGGACTCCCAAAAACGTTTTTGACTACGATGATGGTTCAACAAATCAAAAAGCTTTGGCACAAAGCCTTCAGTGATATTTTCGTCAATTTCAAGTCATATCAACGAGGATACTGGTTGGATAATTAATCAGGAAGTTTGCTCTTTTTTTTTTAGCAGAATGGGCATTAATACAACGCAGGCTGATTCAGCCCTTTAAAAACAGTAGAGGGGTCATTGTTTTGGATGCGCATTTCCGCTTCTAACAATAAGTGGATTGGAAAACAGAAGTTTATCTTCATCTTAGGCATCTGAGTGATTACTATGGACTCGTTGTTAGCAAAGTTTATCAAGCTATACCATAATGCCTCAAATTTACCAGTCGAATCAGATTTTCCGAGATCACCAATTCCGTTGGGCTGAACCAGTAACAGAGCACAATCATGTAGAGCGACTGAATTTCTATTGACTTTATGAGCTATTAATAACCACAAAACATCGCTCGCAGCATGGACACATCGCACGTCAAAATTCCTCATGGTCTGACCCTGAAGTATTATAACCTAGATAATAACGAAATCAGGACATAGACATAGTATAAACACTTTTGAGCTGAAGTTTGTACCATACATCAATGTATGCACTGGTCTACTACATCCACAGCGAAATCGCGGAAGTAATTCCGCGGTCGCCGCTGCCGGACTCGCTCTTCACGCCATCTTATGGATACAATGGCAAGGAAGGAGATACAAAGGAAAGGTAAGAGGTAGGGGAACGAAAGCCGCCAGTTCAAGCCGCCTCAGCAGGCATGGTCCTTTTGCAACGCTGTTGCATGTCGTTTCAGGACCAGTAGTCTGCGGAGGCGGCTCAAACTGGCGGCTTTCGTCCCCCTACCCAAACTCAGACATTCGCCGTTGTCACCCGCAGGTGGACCGCCCACAAAATGGCTGATCGCACCAAAACCCGGTGCACCGGGTTACTCATACCTTACCGGCTACTCATACCTTTAAAGGTATGAGTAGAATAAATCTAAGTTCAAGTTTCATATAAAATGTGTAGAACTCTTGCTTTTAGCTTGGTATCGAAAATACGATTTTGTAATTTGAATAATTGTGACAGTTTCTAATGAACAGCTTTGATAGAAAGATACTTATTAATACCATCTTTCATTATGCGAATAATGTTCGACCTCACAAACTTTTTTGATCAAGAAATCAAAATATGCGATTTTGTACGCATCTGGCTGAATTTTTGACATTTTTTGCAACATTTTGAACAGTGCTGAAGAAATGTTTATACCACTGTATTCTATTTTGTATGGATTTGACTTGAATTGTGCCAAGTTTTGCTATATTGTGAACAGCTTTGGGAAAAAAAGGATCAGATACACCATTTCCTGTCTTTCATGCAAAAAACCTTTTTTCATCAAAAAAATCAATATTTGCGATTTTGTAGGGGTCTGAATTGAACTGCAACCATCATTGCTATCATTAGCTTTGAATGATATTTTTGGTGCTTACAAAGAAGCAGTCCGAATTTTGATTTTCAGACCCCCCCATGCCCTTTGAGCCTTCACTATGTCGCAACGTTTGTCGCAACGCATTTACCGAAGAGGACCTGCTCAACCTGTCAATCGCCGCCGAAGAACGGTAGAAGGCCGCCACCTGCTTTCGGTCCAAACCTCGCTCCAATTGTATTCTCTGCACTATGGAAGAGAAAGACTCGGTCCTTGCAACACCCGATCCTAATACCGTTCAACAGTCCACATCAAAGAAAACTATTGGAAAAAGGACTCGAACGAAGCAGGAATCCACACACAGCAAAATCGTGTCGCTAAAAGGAAGCATCTAGGTTGTCCAAGCCCAAGATAGTGGAATAAATAGGCCTGAATGCTCTTCTGATATCCATAGTTAACTAGAGTTATTGCCGATCTTTATCGTTAGGTTCTGCAAATTTCTCATAACTTATTTGGTTTACCTTTCCCAGCGTGAAAACCCTTAAGCCGCCATGTCACCCCCATTGCTGCTTGATAGCACACTTGGCAGCTACCATTTTCATGTAAGCAACCATTGAATATGAATGATACCTGTATGATACCCATTATTTGATAGAAGGGAGCACCTAGATTGCCACGCCCAAAATAACTGCATAAATAGGCCTGAATGCTCACTTCCGGATCAGCCTCGTCAAAACTATATTCATCTAAAATTGTTTGCCCAATAAACAACTCCTGCAACGTAGTGACATCTAATCTTGGTTTATACGGAATCTGGATTAAAGCTGTCTCTGTACACGAGAATCATCAACAATTTCTACCACATATGGCACAAAATCTTGATATATACTAAAATCTTGAAGAAAAGACGGCTGCACTTGAATCACCGGGCAGTGACGGTCGCAGGAATTCCGTACGGGAGTATTTTTTCTAATGGAGGTTTCGGGAGGAGGTTTTTGACGAAGAACTTTTGGGGTGCTTCTCAAACTTTTGCGGGTCCATAGCTCCTAAAATTCTGAAAAAAAGGGGCGTGGTGGCAGCCACACTCTGGAAAAAAATTTTACTGGGTTAATTTGAATATTTAGAAAATCTTCAAAATTATTTTAGTTGTTTACAAGAATAAGCAAATCACTTGCATAGTTTTATAACCAATGTAAGTAAATTTCAAAAATTTCGCGACCCATTCTCGGGGGGGGGGCTATTACCAGGGTATTATGAATACAAAAAAGGACGTGCTTACACTGCGATAGACTTTTGCTCGCCTTGTTCATACTAAAGGTTAGTAAGGTTACTTGAGGATTGGCATCTCAAACCCGGATTTTCAGAGCTTCAAGACAAAGGCTTTCAAGGCGCGCTCCCCTCCCCGCGGAGATAATGATGCATGCGCTCCCCAAAATTTATGATAAAATTTCACAAAAGTCAAAACTTCCTTGAGACATTTATGTGTGTGATACAAACTATATTGAGTATAATTCGCATAAATAAGCTTCGGACGCACCCACAATCAACTCAAACTCGCATGTGGCTTCAATTCCAAATCAATTGCCAGAAAAACTACGTCTTTTACAAACAGTCTTTCTTTCTTGCCTTCAGTTGTAGATCTAAATCGTTTTTATAAATATAAAAATCTACACATCGCATATGCAGGATTTATTTGCCAATCAATTCAAAATTGTCTCCCCAGTAGCAAGATTCTTCTGAAGCTGAAACACGCGATCTCTGAACCAAACATCGCCAAGTTCTATCACTTCCTCTTTATAATCCTGAAAAATATCATCAACAATGCTCTTACAACTATATTATTATCATTTGCCAACGCTTTGATGATTGGTTTCTGAAAGAGAATAGAAAACAAAAACAGGCGTTACTCGAATGATGACGTCTCAACTCCAATATTTTCTGTCAGGGAACAGCCAAAGTAGCTTGCTTATTCTCAATCTACACTGACCTCCTGGCATCTGTATCTCAAGAGTATGTATGGTTCAACTCCGAATATCTCTGTTTCAGAACCGCCGATCTCGAATGGCTTGTTCAGTTCGACCTCCTTGTGATCTAACACGTCGTCGTCATCGATGAAGCCAAAAAATGCTAAATGTCTAATCAAGAGAAAGTGTGTGAAACAGGCAAACAAGCATAACACATACTTTTTCCAAAATCTCTTTCCATGAGAGAAATGGAAGCGACATTGCTGTAGGGATCAGGACATTTCAACACCCCTTTAACACCGATATGAATGGCATCTACAGACACCAGGAATAAGGGAGTCAACCAAAGTAGAAGCATTTCGAGGAATGACATGGGCAGCACAAAAACCGCTCGGCTTTTAACATAGGTGGTGAGACAAAACAACTTACATGTGTACATTTTTCGTAGCATGACTAAGAATAAATAAATTACAGTGAGTGTCCCAAAAAATGTGGCGAAAGTTTGATCGTAGGTTCTCTTAACGAAAAACCTTCGCGAATTAGGTTTGTAGCAATGGCTTCAGCCTAGATTCGCAGTAGAACCGGATCGCCTATCCTCTTCATTACGGTAAGAACTTTTGGAAGAATCTTGGGCCTTTACGAGCATATAGTGCCTCAAAAAATTGTCCAAGAAGCTGGAAGCTCCGTTACACAAACAAATAGGCCACTATATAAGCGTCGCACTCGTTAAGAGGATCTAAAACACCTCAGAATACGTGAATCTGCTAATTTTCGGGAATGAAGAGACTTTGCGCGGGTAGCTGGAAGCATTCCTACAATAATGAAGAAAAGCAAATAACCCCTTTTTTCAGCACTACAGGATGATGCTTTACGGATAACAAAAGCTTTTCAGGCAAGAGATTTATCGAGATCAAATCTCAAATTAGAATATACGTATGCAAAAAAATTTCATTTCTTTAGCGGGGCTCGAGCAACACCCTCTTGTACAGCTGTCATCGTCAGTTCACCAGCTCGACTCCATAGTCTTGCAATGGTGTGAGTATGCGAGCCTCCTGCAAAGCAATTTCTTTCAAATAATATAATTTATGCTAATTCTTCGAAGAAGTCCGACTATCTTATATCTTATCATCTTCGGCAGCTTTTCCAGCGAAATCGAAGCATCGACATAGCTTCAGAAAGCTGACGCAAAGAAGATGTTTTCCCAACGAAGGCATAGTCAAAACGTCCTACCTACCTGCAAAGTCACTTTTTTGTTCCCATAACATCCAATCATTCATAATAAATTTTGTCTTATGGAACCAGATGCAGTGATCCATGGAGAAAGCCTGTGAGATTTAGCTTCAATTTTACTCGATATGGAACTGTATGAATCATGCCATTTCTACAATAAATCCCCGAGCTAGATCTTGTATATAAAGCTGAATGTCTGTTTGTCTGTCTGTATGTATGTCTGTGTGTACGTATGTTCCGACTAGAAAATTCCATTTCTGAACCGATCCGGACCAAACTTTGCACACATACACTTCGGGACCGGGCGGATGTCATAGGCTACTTTTCGTCATCGATCGATATCGATTTTAACGATTTTTTGCAAAGAGTTGGCACAGGGGGGTAATCAAGCATGCTGATTACGAAAAATAATGACAGGGCCGGGCGGAGCCGGGTAAGGCTCCCGCCAGAGTGCCGAAGTTATGCCAGCGCTACGCCAGCATTTCGATCGATACACGTGTATTTCGTTGGGGCGGGGCTAGCTGACGTCCCCAACGAAATACACGTGTATCGATCGAAATGCTGGCGTAGCGCTGGCATAACTTCGGCACTCTGGCGGGAGCCTAAGCCAGCTAGTATAGTATGATTGCTGTTTCAACCATTGTGGAATCGGATATATAAGCAGCCATGTATTGATGGAATAATTTGTCGTCACCTCAAAGAAAGAAATTTTCGAAGCTTTTTGCGTGAATATGTATATTAAGAACATTGACATTTCTCACCTATGTTGAGCACTGCTTTAATCCACATATCGTAAGTAGTATTGTGCAAGGGCCCTTTCAGATTAGGTTTGTAGACATTTTGGTTAATATGGCGAACCTGGAAATCTTGGAGTATGTCTTAGGACACTACTACTAGCGCTGTTGTGATGGTGAATGAATTCAAAAAGAATTCAAATTCATTCAATTCCTTTTTTGCATTTTCTCTGTGATATGTCTGTCTGTCTTCTCTGTCTATTTTCTCTGTCTGTCTGCCTGTCTGTGTTACTGAATTAGTACGTAACGAAAATGATGCCACCTTGAAGCATCATTACCTCGAAAATCCTATGGAATGTAGGAGGAAATTCAGCAAGTTTGTAGGCTATAAATAATTGAGCGGGTGTTAGTTTGTCATTCTGAGCCTCCTTGAGAGTATTACTCATCAAAGTCCTAGCGTCCAAAAGTCCATCAGGACCTTCAGGCATTCTAACTTTGGTCTGATGCTCCATATGACCCGTTTCTTCGTGCTTAAAAGAGTTCTTTTGAATACGATGCGGTGCTTGAAGTAAAACCAGAATTGAAGGAGAAACCTGAAATGATGCCTGTGCTGTGAACAAAATGTCATCATTTTGTTTTGCCTTCACCAAACGTGTGAACAGCTCTTTCCATCACGGATTCGTTCGACAAGGTAATCAACAGGTTTGAGTATAGAGCCTTGTATAGAACTCCTCAAAATTACGACACTTGTCTGAGGTTTGCGTAAACAATTTTCATTTTCCTACCTGGTAGATCATTACTTCAACTTCTTAGCATGAAGATAAAATTATCATAGAAAAGAGTAGATTTTGCTAGACATATTTCCTCCCCTATACTTTCAGTTTTGTTTGACTTTCTACTCCGTTGTTCTCCTTAGCATTCGTTGAAGCTTAAAGAATTCATTGGAGCTGATTAGAAGTCAGAAATGCCGAAAACTGCATTGCACCCGCATAAGAGGAGGTGACCATGTAGATAGACTGTTTTTCGAAATTTAGGATTTTGCAGAGTCTAGCAGATTTAAAGGCTAATACAACGCCCCTGGGGTGACAAAAACAAACAAAATATTTTGCACAAAACGATATGCCATCCTCTGAGCCGACAGCTTGCTTGCGACTTGCGCGTAAAAAATGGCCACTGAACGCCTATTGCCCTGGTTGACGCGCATATGTTATCGACAGCAAATACTACATTCACCTCAAATCAAGTACGTTACGATTTCTATCCTTCCTATGGAAAAAGGTTCAGATAATCACGAAATTTTGTGATAACATCCACAATCTTAGAAAATTGATATGAACAAATAATAACCTACTTTTACAAAGTAGCAATGCATTGAGTGTGGAGATAAGGTTGACTCGACCGCCTCAGTTGCGCTTTTGAGGGCTTGTGCAACAATCTAATTAAGAATGCTCTTCTGATATCCATAGTTATTAGAACAACTAGAGTAATTGCCGATCTTTATCATTAGGCTTTGCAAACTTCTTATAACTTATTTCGCCTACCTTTCCCAGCTTGGAAACCCTTAAGCCGCCAAGTCACCCCCATTGCTGCTTGATAGCACATGGCGGCTCCCACTTTCATGTAAGCATCCATTGACTATGAATAATACCTGTATGATACCCATTGTTTGATAGAAGGGAGCATCTAGATTGCGACGCTCAAAATAGCTGCATGAATAGGCCTAAATGCTCACTTCCGGATCAGCCTCATCAAAACTACTATATTCAGTTAAAATTGTCTGCTCAATAAACAATTTCTGCAACGTAGTGACATCTAATCTTGGCTTGCAAATCTAAATTGTCTCCTCAGAATCAACGAATAAACAATATCTACAACGTACGGCACAAACCTTGATAAATTCTAGGATTTTGAAGAAAAGACGGCTGCTACTTGAAGATTACCGGGCAGTGGACGCAGAATTTCCATAGGGGGGGGGGGCAAAAAAATTTTTCAAGTAAGGTGCGTGGCGTTAGTCAAGCATTGCGAAAAAAAATTGGGGTGCTTCTTAAAATTTTTGTGGATCCTTAACCCCTCCACGCCTACTAAAAAAACCTTTTCACAAGGCTAATTTAAACAAAAAATTCAAAAATTATTCTAATTGTTAACAAGAATAAACAAATCACTTGCACATTTTATAACCCATTCAAGTAAATTTCAAAAACTTCGCGAGCCATTCTCGATAAGGGGAGCACCAGTAATATATTCACAATACCGGGGTATTGTGAATATAAAAAGGGATATGCGGCTTATACAGCAATACACTTTTGCTCGCTATGTTCAATATCGAAGGATAGTAAGATCACCGAAGGATATGCATCTCGAACCCAGATTTCTGAAGCTTTGAAACGTAGTTCCTTTCAAGGCGGGCTACCCTCCCCGCGGAGATTATGATGCATGCGTTCCCAACAATTTGTGATATAGATCCATACAAGTCAAAGTTTGCTTGAGAGATCTATGTGTGTGATACAAAATATATTGGCTATGCCATCGACAAACGCATCTAACTCAAACTCGGTGGTTTCATTTCAAAATCAGTTGCCAGAACAAACGCTCCCTGTGTCAAACTGTTTGCAAACACTTTCTCTTTCCTACCTTCCACTGTAGATGTAAGTCGTTTTCACAATATAGGGTGTCCCAAAAGTAAGTACACACTTTGATGATTATTAACACCTTTCCCACGATATCTTTTGCTTAGCTTCAAGAACCCTTCGGTCAAGCAGGCTCTAACTTAGATTTATAGCATGAAGAGGAAGTTTTGAGCCATTAGTGGCTGCATTTTGCCCCAAAATTGATACTCAACAGGCTGAGTCCCTGACTATGAGAATGACTTTGTTGTAGGATTTTCAAAAATTACCTTATTGATGATTTCTCAGTACTTTGAAAAATGTAATCGACTCATTCAAAATGCTTTAAAGACGCGAAATAAGTTGTCTAATGAACTCGGCATGACCGAAAACACTGACGCACAACTTTCCAGATTTTTCTGGTCCTTTTTTTTCCGAACTGCCCATTTCAGAGTGGAGTGTATACTGGAAGTTCCTACCGTAATTCCACATTAATGAAAAGCGACGGTTGATTCGCTCCATACTGTAAACCTAAGTCCTTACTGTGAACTTAAGTTGAAACCTGCTCTATTGATTGATGCTTGAAGCTAAGGGTTTTGTGGGAAGTAAATTCACGATTCAAAAGTGTGTACTTACTTTTGGGACACCCTGTACAAAACCTAGCAAAAAATAGTATCTGCACATTGCATATCCAGGATTTATTTGTCAATCAATTCAAAATTGTCTTCCCGGTAATAAGATCCTTCTGAAGCTGAAACACGCGATCCCTGAACTGAGTGTCGCCAAGATTTATCACCTCCTCTTTATAATCCTGAAAAATATCATCAACAATACTCTTATAACTACATTATCACCATTTGATGCCAACGCTTTGATGATTGACTTTTGAAACAGAATAGTAAGAAAACAGGAGGTACGATATGTAACTAGAATGATGACGTCATCAGCAATCCGCATCAACTCCAATATTTTCTGTCAGGGAACAGCCAAAGTAGCTTGCTTATTCTCAATCTCCACTGACCTCCTGGCATCTGTATCTTAAGTATATGTATGGTTCAAGTCCGAATATCTCTGTTTCAGAACCGCCGATCTCGAATGGCTTGTTCAGTTCGATCTCCTTGCGATCTAACACGTCGTCGTCATCGATGGAATCAAAAATTGCTAAATTTTTAATTAAGAGAAAGTGTGTGAAACAGGCAAACAAGCATAACACATACTTCTTCCAAAGTCTCTTTCCATCAGAAAAATGGAAGCGATACTGCTGTAGGGATCAGGACATATCAGTGTCCCAGCAACGCCGATATAAGTAGCATCTACAGACACCAAGAATAAGGGAGTCAAACAAAGTAGTAGCATTTCGAGGAATGACATGGACAGGACAAAAAACTGCTCGGCTATTAACATAGTTGTGTGAGACAAAACAACTTACATGTGTACATTTCTCGGAGAATGACAAAGAAAACATAAAATACACTGAATGTCCTTAAAAATGTGGCGTAACTATGTTCGTTGAATGTTTTAACCGAACAACCTTAGCAAATTTTCAGGTCTGTAGAAATGGCTTCAGCCTACATTTGCAGTAGAGTTGGATCACCTATCCCCATTACTGCAGGATTAAGGTAAGAACTTTTGGAAGTCTTGGGCCTTTGAGAGCATATAGTGGCCCAAAAAATTGTCTAAAGGAGCTAGAAACTCCGTTGTAAGAAAAAGGGGTCACTCTGGATATAGGCGTTGCATTCAGTAAGCGGTGTAAAACCTCACAACAAAAAAGCTAAATTCTGCAAATTTTTGAAAATGAACCTTGCACGGGTAGCTGGAAGTATTCCTACAAGAGAAGCAGGTAACCGTCTTTTACTGCACTCTAACTTGAATTTAGCACTACAAAATGATGCCTAACGGATAACAAAAGCTTTTCAGGCAAGGCATTTATTGAGATCAAATCTCCAGTTAATTTATACGAATGCTGTAGCAATTCATTTCTTGAGCGGAGCTCGAGCAACACCCTCTTGTACAGCTGTCATCAGCAGTTCACCAGTTCGATTCCAAAGTCTTGCAATGGTGTGAGTACGCGAGCCTCCTGCAAAGCAATTTCTTTCAAATAATATACTTTGTGCTAGTTCTTCGAAGAAGTCCGACTATCTCATATTTCATCATTTTCGACTGCTTTTCTAGCGAAATCGAAGCATCGACATAGTCAGAAAGCTGATGCAAAGAAGATGTTTCCCCGAGAACATAGTCAAAAACTCCTGCCTACCTGCAAAGTCACTTTTTTGTTCCCATAACATCCAATCATTCATGTTGAATTTTGTCCTATGGAACCAGATGCAATGATCCAAAGAAAAAGCCTGTAAGATTTAGCTTCAATCAAACTGCCATGTGAGTGTATACATTGCCCTACCATTCCTACAATAAATCCCTGAGCTAAATGTGGTATAATAGCTGTTTCGACCATTGTTGAATCGGATATGTAAGCAGCCATGTATTGATGAAATAATTTATCGTCACCTCAAAGAAAGAAACTTTCGAAGCTTAGCTTTGCGTGAATATGTATATTAAGAACATTGACATTTCTCACCTATGTTGAGCACTGGTTTAATCCACATATCATAAGTAGTATTGTGTAAGGGCCCTTTCAAGTCAGGTTTGTAGACATTTTGATTAACAGGGCAAGCCTAAAAATTTTGAGTTACAGTATAGTAAGCGGTAGTAGTATTCGACAACACTACTACCGCTGCTGTGTTGGTGTCAGAAAATCAGGAAGGGATACTCTTCTTGTGATTTTACAGTGACACCATTTACTATACTGCTACCTCGGGGGCATCGGCTTACCTCGAAAATTCTATGGAATGTAGGAGGAAATTCAGCAAGTTTGTAGGCCATAAATAATTGAGCGGGCGTTAGTTTGTCATTCTGTGCCTCCTTAAGAGAATTGCTCATCAACGTCCTAGCATCTAGAAGTCCATCAGGACCTTCAGGCATTCTAACTTTGGTCTGATGCTCCATATGACTAGTCTCTTCGTGCTGGAAAAAGCTTTTTCAACTATGTAGCTCGAATGTCGAGGTAAAATTAAAACCTAAACCTGAAATGATGCCTGTGCTGTAAACAATATATCATCGTTTTGTTTCGCCCTCACCAAACGCGTTGAAAAGCTCTTTCCATCGCGAATCCTTTCCACATGATAATCAACCGGTTCAAGTACAGAGCCTTGAAAAAGTCATTTCAAGAGAAAATGTGACTTGTTTGCCTTCAACATGCAAATCCTCGATATTTGATTTGCCAGGTCACTTCTTCAACTTCAACACATTCTGATAGAAGAGTTTAGCAGGATATGCAGGATTTCGCTAGATTTACGTTTTCTAGAGCAAGTGTTCCCATTTTTCCGTGGTTCCTCTTAGCATTCGGAAGTCTTCAAATTCACTGATGTACCTGATTTCACCACAGAAATATAGATGATTTCAGTGCACTCGAAATGAAAGAATGGTGGGTTGAACATTTTGTTCATGACTAGGTTCTTTTTGAAGATACGATTACGAACAATCTAGCAGATATTGCGATGACACCAATGTTTGCGTGAGAAGAGATTCCACAATTGAATGCCGGCAACTTGCTTATGATTTGCGCGTAAATTTAGCCATAGCGCAGACACTGCGTGTCCACGCGCAAATGTTGTGAACAGCGCGCGTACACTATTAAAGGCAGCGGCTCGGCAGATTTTGCATTTCCATCTTTTTGCATGTTTTGGGCCCTCTCGACCCGCAGATCCCGAATCTGAGCTTTAAAAGGGGTGAAAAGGCCTTTCTCGGGGAGTTTTTTCAATTTCCAAAAGGCAGCTGGGACGAGAATTTTTAAAAGGAAAGTCGGGAACCCCTGGCACAAAGACCCTGCTGCCTGTAATTTTGGCTTTGTATAGCGTGCACAATGCGGGAAAGCGGTTGGGGGGTCCCGCGCCGTCCAGCGGAGAATACTCGTCCGAACAAGGTGTTAGGGGAGCGAAAGGAGGAAGGGGAGCGGCGCTTGGGCCGACCCCCTGGCTTGCAGAATTCACATTTTCGGCGCGGAGTTGCTGTTTTGGTTCACTTGGAGGGCCTCCTATCCATCTGTGTCAAAATCTGAGGTAGGTCAATCTGCCGAGCCGCTGCCTTTAAAGGCAGTGTCCCGGCAGATTTTGCACCTCCACCTTTTTGCATGTTTTAGGCCTTTTCGCCACTTAGAATCCGAATTTGAGCTTTGAACGGGCTGAAAAGGCCGATTTTGGGGCGTTTTCCTAGTTCCAGAAAAGCAGCTTGGAGAGATTTTTAATGGAAAGTTGGGGGAGGTCCTCAGACGACTGCCTGTAATTCTTGCTTTGGATAGCATGCATCATGGGGGAGAGCGCTCGTGGGGTCCCGCGCCGAACAGGCGGGGAAGGCCGTCCAGGCGCGCGCCAGTTGGGGTTGCGCGCGCCGGTTCAAGGGCCATTTTCTCGGCCCAGGGGGAACATCACCCAGCCGGAGTGCGCCTGGAGGTCGATGGGGTGACCAGGAACCCCACCACACGTATATCCCCCAGGACCCGAATCTGCCGGGACACTGCCTTTAACCGCCCATCCATGACCACTATTCTCCATTCAAGATGAGAAAATTTAGACCTTTATGATATAGTTCTGTGATAACACCCACCAAATCTTATAAAATTTGATATGAACATAAAATGACCTGCTTTCACAAAGTAGCAATGCATTGAGTGTGGAGATAACGTTCTATCGACAGTCTCAGTAGCGCTTTTGAGTGCTTGTGCAACAACCTAACTAAGAATGCAATACTTATAAAAAACGCTGACGGAAAAAGCAGTAGAGTTGCTGACCTGACCGCCATAGATATGAGGGAAAGACTTTCGCCCACGGAGTAGATGTTCTGATCTGAAATTGTGCTTCACAGAAAAAAAACTGTTTTGTATACCTATGCACCGAGTACCTGAAGGTATCGTTGTCCTTTCGCTCCAGTTTCAAGAAGCAATCCAGCAGACGTTGAGGCAAATCTGGACCATCCTGGTCCAGGAGACGGGCATTCTCCGCCGCTGTGCTACAGCCTCGTACTGCTAACAGGGGCAAAACATCCCTTCTCAGAGCCGCACATATGGACATCAAAGATTTCCCACTATATACTGAATACTCCTATTAAAGAACATTATGTTGGCGAATTTCAAAACAAGGTCAAGAAACGAACGAACATTCATCCTTTATATATAAGTACTACAACTGGCAACTGAGATTAGAAAAAGAAAATTGAGTCCAGAACGACATCAAGGCTTCAGGATGTTGGACCGAAAAGCTTCAATTTTGAATGAGTTGACAGATAAAAAATCACTTGAGTTCGTTCGCACTCCATCTCTTTAAGTAAACCAACGCTCGCTTTCAACTTCAAAATCAAAGAATCTCTGGGAAAATGCCATGGCTGAAACACAAAAACCTTATCGGTCGATATCCCATCAAATACACTCTAACGAAAACCACTCTTTCACATAGACTTCGTTCATGTATTCTTTGGAACTCAGCTCGATTTGCAGACTCGCCACGCGCAGACATCAGTGGCGAACGCGAGGGAAGAGAAAGTGCCAAATAATTAAAGAATGTAGCACATCAATTTCTCAGGTTAGAACATTTATTTATTTATTTGTGCATAGGAATGCCCTAAGGCCCTTTAATGAATTATATGTTTATGCAGTAATACGATTTATTATTGGGCAATATATTGCCCAAGATTCATATAAAACAAATGCTTTGCAAGATTTTTTTTAACAGCTACGTCACGCCCCCCTGTTCAGGCCTACAAGCTTGCGAAGGCGCAATCTTCCTTCAAATCATGAGACACCGTCCCACAAATTGAGGTTGGTAAGATTCTGATGCTACGTGATAGTAGGAACTCTAGATAAGCAATCGCCCAAGTCTCGCTGCAAAAAAAGTAAATTCGAGGGCGAGAAAATTGCTCCAGAAGGTAGAAGGGCACAGAGCGGCACCGCCCATTGAACATGGTCGCCTAAAGCTAATGTCCAAAACTGAGCTCTAATGTATCAAAATCATCTTAATTCGTCCCTCTTTATAACTATCAGATTTTCAACTTTTTGTCTACCCTAGAGCCCAATTTCGGGCTTTATTTTCGGACTATGTAAACAGGCAGAGCCGACGTGGCCGCTTCTACCTTCTGCGGTTTTCTCGCTTTGGAACTCATCTTTCACAGCGAGACTTGGGTGACCGCTTAGTTAGAAGCCCCTCATATAAATCAGATTTTCACCACCTTGGATTTGTGTGGGCGATGCCTTCAAAATCGTACACATGTGCTTCTCAAAAGACATGTGAAAGCATTTTTTGCATCGATCTATATTTTTCAGGACTTTCATAAAAAAAACCCCAAAACCGTAAAACTATCAGCGATGTAGTACATGTTTGAGGGATCATTTTCAAAAAAGATGTGCGCTAGATCCCAATGTTTTTTCAAAAGTGCGCCAAGTGCGCTATACCTTCTCCATGTTTTTTAAGAGTGCGCCAAGATTTGCGTACTGCAACAATCGCTAATCACCAATGATGTTGTTGAAAGGACCCCTTTCGACACAAAACTATTACACAAAGGAAGATAAGGGAATAAAACAAGTACAAGAATCATGGTTACAGATGGGTCAGAGCGATCAAGAAGACAGAATAAAAGTTAAAGAGCATTGAGTTTCCTCTGCATCGGTTTATCATGGTCAAGAAGTAGATGATATTGTATGAACACAAAAAATCACAAAGCGGCAGTATTTTGAGAACAAAAGTTTGTGAAACTCAGGGGGGGGGGAAGACTTGAACTTGGATTTATCGCATAAAATATCCAAACATCGAGAATCCACACTGCGAAAAATGGAGAATTTCATGTTGAATAATCAATTGCAGCTGAAAAAGAGCAAAAATTAGATTTCGCACGGTCTCTGTTCAATTTTATGGCATTAGATACACACACAAAAAGAGTGCAAGTGGGGCAGCAAGTTCATTTAACGCAAGAAAAACAAAGCCAACATAGAAAAACAAACGCATCAAAAACTTTCAAAGCATGTATATGGCGCAAAGATGAGTAACATTTGAAAGCTGACGACTCATATTTTTCAGGTCGAAGCAAGAATTTCAACTGAAAGTGTGGAATCCTGGAAGAAATTGTGAATATTTGAAGAATGCAAGATAATCTGGTGAACAACAGATCGATTTGGTTTGCGTACTTCGCACTTTGGTCATGACATGAACCTAACGATAGTCAGCTTATTTACAAACAGATTAAGTTTCGAGTTGGTCATATGAAAGGAGTAGGTAGCATTAATGTAACTGGTTGTAGGATACAAAAAACAAAAATGATTTCTTCACACGAATTTGTTTCACGGGATCGTCTTCGTGTTGCTAGATAAGTGGGTGAGTGTTGAAATCCAGTAATTTATCATGAAATAACAAATAATGATAACAATGCCATAGAGAATTGCATTTCCAGATTTTTTGGATGCGGTAAGTAGCGCGAGCGAGAAGTGCAGGATAAACAAGAAGTTTAGCGCGATTACAGATGGTAATCACAGATAAATCATAATTTTAAAGCTGCTTTCCCAGCATCGACTATGCAAAATATGCCACCAAAAAAAGATGTGTGCAGTCCTTCAAAATTAAAACCAATAACCGAAGATAAAGCAAACTAGAAAAGTGAAATGAGGATCAAAGTGCAAAAGAAACATGCAGATACGATGAAAATGACAAGGCCAAAGCTCAGAAAATAGCGTCACGCAACCAAGAAAGTGATATCATCGAAATGAGACTCGAAAACGCCGTGCGCTCGAATTTCACAAGTTAAAACTTGTGCAGTAAAAAACTAGCGCAGTGTCTCAATCTGCACGTCTCACTGAAAACGAAAGAAGGACAAGTTTGACCCGTCAAACAAAGTTTACAAAGCGATCTCGGGTCAAGTTATTGACACTTCAGCAGAATAGATCAACGACGTAAACCATGCTGTTAGCAACACCAGCTATCGGACCGCGCATTGCTTTTTGACGAAAACATGTCGTTGTTTCGTTTGTGGCTCTTGCAGAAAAGATTTTCATGCTCTTAAACCTGCATCAGAGAGCCGCAACTCAACTCATGGAGGTTTGTATGGTAAATAAGATGCAGAAATTGGTCCAGGGAACAACGACATTTGGAGCATGGACGTACTATTCCTTCTTTGTTCTTCGATTTGAAATGTATCGTTTTGCAACTATCTTTTACGCACTAGCAATAATGCAGTAAGAAAAGCACAGTGACGCACTCCTCACCAAAAGAACAACAATATGATTGAAAAGACATGCAATAAACTTGCAAGAAAATTAAGAGCATTATTTTCGATGATGACGCGGCGTCCAAACATTTGAAAAACAGTGACGCAGAGGAGGTGACCGCCGGACCTGAGTGCAGAGAACGAGAGTGGCGCTATGTGAAGCTGTGCTCGGGCTCGCTCCAACCATTCCTTATTGAACTGTTTTGAATTTTTCATTGTTGAAGTTTTCTCGCAATTTCTGGCGAGTGGAATGTTTTGCTTAGCGTTTGTTATATATGCTCGTCTTGTCTGCTCGAATTCAGTGGAGATTTTTGTACTTGTATGGTATTAGTCTTGTTTGAGTTTGTTCAAAACTTCACCCCTTTGGTTCTAAGAAGGGCCCAGCTCTAAGTTCCAACAGAGTCGTCTCATTTCTCTTGGTTCCCATCCTTTATAAGTATGTCCATATATAGTGCAGGAAGGACATGTTTTTTCTCCCTTCACAATACCAGAGCATTCAATTAAGGTCTTTTCAAGAGTCTCCTCCCTTTCGTTTTTCAATGTTTTAATTTACATCTTTCCTGATCTCTGGTCTAGAATAGTTTCTCTTTTCTTCTAATAATGCCCACATGTTAATATTCTACATTCCCTTCCTAGTTGGACATTGACGCGTTTCTAAACAAAGACGAGAAGAAAGAAGTCTGCCCAAGTTTGAGTTGCTTTGTTTTTTGACGTGAACATGACAGGCTGTCATGTGCGCTAGAATATTCTATAGCGTGCAAATGTTTCCAGAACTTCTGCGTGCGGCTGTGAACTCTCTTTGTTCAGATAAAAAAGTGCTGCGAATTTTCATCATTCTACTCAACCTTTTAACTAGTTTCCTTGAATGATGGAGAATGCTTTATTATTGCACTTACGATGCTGATACCAGTATGTTGTGATCGGCTGCCAATACGGCTGGAGGTGGCCGTAATATCGGCGAAAGGGCTGCCGATTATGAATAAGGTGTGATCTATCAAGATAACAGAGTGTTAATTACCAAAAAAAAGTTATACAGTCAATCAACTCTACTGACGCTTTCGTTGAAATTCGTTTTGCCGATGAAGTGCAGAAGACAGAAGTAGTGACCAGTCTCAATCCACAGTGGGACAGTGAGCTTTTCCCATTTGACACCGACGAAAAACAACTCGTTGAATGTTGGGTGCAGTTCAGGTTTGTTGGGAGTCTGCGAAATTTTACTATCAAACTAAATATCTATGCTTTTCAGAGTGATGGATCATGACACTTACTCGGCGAACGATGCAATAGGAAGAGTCAATCTGGATTGTAACATACTAGTAGAAAAGATGCGAATGCAAGAGATGGAAAGGCTCGATGAGACCCATATTCTACCTATCTATGATACTCTCAATGGCGGGTTCGAATAATTCGTTCACATGGTCTTTACAGAAAGAACATCCCAAATCGCCTCTAGCTGATAGGTTGCATGACTACAAGATTTATGTCTCTAGCGGTGAGAGGTACATATATAGGTAAAGCCTTAATCATCGCAATCCATATTAGGTACTCGCTGGCACACCCGGCTCCGCCCGGCCCTTTCAAAACACAGTGTTAAAGGTCACCACCCTTATTCTTGCACAAACCTTTGCCTGTGTCCACTTCCACTTGCCAATTCCCTATCGCCGTTTTATTTTCGTAATCAGCATGCCTCCCCACTTACCCCTTGTGACTCCCGGCCCCGAAAATCAACTTCGCAGAAAATCGATGAAATCGATAAAAAATGCAGATAATTCAGAAAACTAATATTGTATTCGTAATCGGCATGCTCACTTGCTCCCCCCCCCCCTCCCTGTGCCAACTCTCAGCTCCGCAGGTCAAATTTTGCAAAAAATCGATAAGATCGATATCGATCGATGACGAAAAGTAGCCTATGACACCCGCCGGGGCCCGAAGTGTATGTGTGCTAAGTTTGGTCCCGATCGGTTCAGAAATGGAATTTTCTATTCGGAACATACGTACATACAGACATACATACAGACATACAGACATACAAACAGACATTCAACTTTATATATAAGATTTACTGCACGCAAAGACTGAACGCCGTTGCGTCTGGCTAAGATAGTTCAATAGTTCGTGTATGGGAGAGACAGCGGACGGCAACAGAGTTGAAAGAGCGCTCAATCAGCAAGACGCCGAAGTCTATAATGACGTCCTGTTTTTGCGTGCAATGAAACGCCTGAACAATGTGTTTCTCACAAGAAAGGTCCGATTAGTCGAAGTGGCCTTTTCGAATGAGTCATATATCGTTTTGAACAGCTTTAGACGCTGATCCCGAATCTGATCTCGTTATCTGCTGAGCGCCTCTGCGCGCCGAGTTATGAGTGATTTTCTGGAGCGAAAAATGAACGCAGAATTTAAGTAAAATCAACTGTTAAGGATTTTTCAGCGCTTAAATAGAGCAGTATGTAATATAAGTGTTTTGTACAGAAGGTGTTCTTTGAATGGTGTGCTTTCATAATCAAAGTTGGACCATTTGAGCAATTTTGACGAATTTTGTTTTAATTACGCGTTCAATTTTCCAACCCAAAAAACACTCATAACTCGGCGTCCAAAGGCGCTCGGCAGATAACGAACCAGATTCGGTGTCAGCGTTCAAAGCTCTTCAAAACGGTATATGACTCATTTGAAAAGGCTACTTCGAATAATCGGACCTCCCTTGTCAGACCGCATTCTGCCAATGCAATGCTTTTTTCTCAGCAATTACGTTCATGCTTTGTTTAGATGAATCGAATTGTTACTCTAACTTGCCAAATCTAAATGAAAGTGTGGAAGGATAATACTGCTGCCATTTTTCATGTTACAGTTGACTGAATGCATGGGATCGTTTCACAAAGTTTTATCTCAGCTCATCAGTACCTATCAGAAATAGGACTTCTACAAAATCCGAACTTCTCTCGATCGGCCATCCCTCTATGTAAATGTCTACTAAGTTCTTTCTAGTTAACTCTATTCTTGTCAATATTTTGTCAGCGCTATTCCACATTAGTTGACCCAAATGAAAGCCGCAAATTTCGCTGAGACTTCGTGTAGAGGGGTTATTTAGCACGCTGATTACGAATATCACAATTCGCGCGGTAGTGCCATCTGGTGGAGTTACAAGAGGATTACTGTAGGGGGTAAAGGTCACTGATTTACCCCGAATTTTGTCTAGGGGGTTATTGGGCAAGCTGAACATGAATATTATACTCATTTCGTTAGCGCCATTTTTTCGGGTTAGGGTGAGTATACGGTAGACGGCTATGATTCCCGATTTTGCTCACCATCTTGCCTAAAGGGGTTTTTAAGCATGTGACTGCAGATATCATGCTCGTTCGCTGCAAAAGTGCCTTATTGTTAGATTTACGATGAGCTATATCGAGCTATATCAACAACTCTGCACAAATTCGAGAGATCTCTCACTTTAGCCGCCTACCGTACACCCATCGTAATCCCGCGAGAAACTTCAGCATGATAATTGTTCAATGTGCTTAGGAACCTCTCCAGACAGAGTTTCGAGCATTCGGGATTTTTAGCTGTCTACCGTATACCCACCGTAACCCGAAAAATCCGCACGAAATGCATACAATTTTCATGTTCAGCGTGCCAAAGAGCCCCCTTAGACGAAATTTTAGCGAAATCCGCGGTTTTCATTTTTTGAGTCAACTAATGTGGAATAGTACCGGGCAACTTATGCTTTTAAGTCAACTTTTTCTCTCATAAATCTGCGGAAAGGCTTTGTCTTGCGAGACGAATGCGTTACATGTGATCAGCACGTCAGATAACACTCCTGCACAAAATCGAGCAGATCTAACACTTTAGCCACCTACCGTACACCTACTGTAATTCCGCGAAAAAGTTTCAAAACGCAAAAAGAGCATGATGTTTATAATCAGCGTGCTTAGGAATCCCTCTAGGTAAAGTTTGAGCAAAGTCGGGATTTTTTTTACCATCTACCATATACTCACCGTAGCCCGAGAAAATGGCGCTACCGTACGAATTGAATATGATTTTCATGTTCAGCGTGCCAAATAACCACCTAGGCGAAGTTTGGGGGCAAATTTTACTCTCTACCGTAAACCCTATCGTAACTCCACCAGTTGGGATTAGCGTGCGAAATAAGTGTGATATTCGTAATTAGCATGCAAGATAACCCCTTCAGACGGAGTTTTTTTGGTTAAGGGATAGTATTTACCTATTTGATTGCGGTAAGCTTGTCCGTAAAAATGCCACAGGAAGACGTCTCCATGGGGAAAAAGTGTGATATTCGTGATCAGCATGTCGAACAATCCCTCTGCAGAGTTCCAGCAAGATCTGAAAGTTTGACCCCTTACAGTACGTCTACCATCATCCTTAAAAAAACCCACCATGCGAAGTGATTATCATTTTCATGACCAGCTTGTCAGATAACCCCTATGCACAAAGTTTTAGCAAAATCCGAGATTCATTTTCGGGTTATGTATTCTGTAATAGCACCTAAATATTTTTTGGATGTTATATTATAACCGTGTAAATAAATCTCTACTGCAATACTGCAAACCCGTTTGCATCAACCTCTTTTTACGGTACACTTCTACAGCCCCTCAAGCGAAATTTGAAATACTTTGTAGTAGAAGCAATTCTTTTGCCTCCAAATTTTAATGAAGAGAGCAGCAATATAACTGATATCAGCTTGCGGTTATTACTAAATGTCTTCAGGTAATCGTGGCGAACTTACTTTTCGGGTTAGAGTCCAACTACTGGTGGACACGGACTGGAGAAATTATGTTCAAATTCTATCAGGTTCGATCAAAAGCGGTTCTTGCTAGTTTTTTTCGGTTGTCATCAATGTCTCACTATATCAGTACAGTACATGAGTAGAACCTTTAGGTTTCCAAATACCTTTCGACTACCGTTTGGTCGAAATTGTAGGACTAATGCAAGAGCTAAAATCTGAAAAGGATCCAGATTATGAATGGCTGGACAGGTGTAGTTTGGCTTGACAACTTGACAAATCTCTCAAATATGTTTCTTCTAAAGGATACGTACGCCTAAAGCTACGAATGAAGCACGACAGTCGGCTGTTCGCGACGCTCTCAGAAGTGCAGCGGTGAGCCTCGCTCACAAAGTCAGCAAACTTCAGTGTAGTCTTATATGCGGGTTTGTTAGAATAGCATAGTCACATTAGTTTTGAGATGTATCTTTGTGTTCTTCCAACTATTTTCGAGCGAGATAAATTGCAGATATCAGGAGTATTTGGACGTTGAAGGGTCGTCTACGGATCTTTTCACTGTTAGGGTGTTGGGTACTGCCTTACGAATAGAGCAGGGTAAATATGCAGGTATGATCTATAATTCATGCTTTTTTTTCTTTGATGGTGAGACTTTGTCTTTGTAGATGTTTGGAATGACCGTGTGTCTTTTCCCATCTTGAGTCTTGATGAAATACCCGGTAACAGGTAAGCGAACATTTCAGTCTGAGTTTATTCCTATTTTTTCCACTTCCAGACAAACCGGCATCGGTGCCGTTGTAGCAGTTCGCGCTGTGCATATTCTCGAGCGAGATGACGAAGAGCCAGAGACTACAAGAAGAAGGTAATGCACTTTTTTGAAAGCTAGAGATCCGCAGTTTGCTTAAAACTTGCAAAACAAAACTTTTAGGGATTTATTCTTGTTTTTGATCTACCTTCTTAGCATCAGTTTTGAAGTCTAATTTCAGCTGGTGGAATGAGCTTCGCTCTGAATTGCATCAGCAAGCCGTAGCCATTGGCTGTAATATGGTAATTGGTTACTCGGAGCAGTTTACTGTCAATGATGGTAATTTTTTGTATCAGGCTTTGCGCATACTTTATGTTTCTGCTCCATTCCTTCAATTGTAATTTCATCGTTGTGGTCTGACCGTCACTACCATATAAATCGCATCTGGTTGAAGGTGTGGCATTGTTGGGATGTAGCGGAACGGCTGTGGTAATGGGAAAAGAAGAGGAGGTTATGCTTGTTGTCAGCAAACCACGTAATGATTTGGATCAAAACGAGAAAACCAAGGTTCTAATTTCTTTCTAATTTTTTTGAATTTCTTGGTTTCCAATCAACAGCTAATTATTCAAAACTTCGCGGTTGCAGGAAAGTCGCGACAAGCGAACTGATTCTTCGGCACGTCAACCTATTCTGTGCTCGAAATTTCATACACCGTTACAAGCAGAGAAAACTCCATTCAATGCGGCGACGCAAATCTGCTCGATATGCAAGTAAGTTGTAATTTCAATTAGCCGAGATGTTTGTTTCGAACATGCTTTTTTTGCTCAGAACGGGTTCCGTCACTGATTTTCTAATTTCCTCAACGAGTTGCCCTCCGGTACACTACCTTATTGGACCTAAATTGTTCATACAGGTCTGCATCTGTATCGCGTAGTGTCCTCAAATGTTTTTCCCTAAGCTGTTGATTCGCTACAGGTCTCTGTGACAAAGAAAATTGCCACTGATCCAGACGAATCGGAAGATTATGCTACTGAAGTCAGCAATGTACGTTTACTACTACATCATTCTCATCCTTTTTTGTTTCCTTCCAGGTTCTTCCATTTGCCGACCATGATCTCTTCAACAACCTCTTAGGCGAAGCAAAATCGCTCAATCCTAATGCAAATGCTGTTTTTGATGTTCACTGCACATATTCTCTTTCGGATTCGATGCTGGTCTCCGTTGTGACTGGTATACTTGTACGCCTCGCATGCTTACCGGTAAAAGCACAGTACTTTTGCCAGGAACTTGAGAGCGGTATATTTATTTTCAGCGTGACGTAGCTGTTTCACCATCGCTTTCCAATGTATTGTCATTCACCAATCTCCAGCGGTATAATGACGCTAGACGCTTTTCTTGGGGAACTGTAAGAGAGGCCATACGCTTTAAGCCATCTGTCACTCCAGGGATCAGCTTGAAAGTTCTTAACTTGAAGTAAGTGTTTTAGCGAAATCGCTTCTTTGCTCTATTGGCTCTACTCCAGACCTCCAAACTCTGACCTCGATGAAACAGCGACTTCCAAGAGTCGATTGAGATTGAACAATTTTGTTGAGAAAATCCGTCGTCGTCAGTATGAAAAGGAATATGTCAGCCATGTGGTCTTTGAGCGACATTTGAGCGCTTCCATAGGTCTCTTGGACTCGACCATGGCTTCGAATAGTAACTCGGTAAAGTTATGACATTTCTTATAGGAAATCATTTTTCCTCCCTAAAGCTTTCTTCAACATAGAATAAAGCATTCGATAAATTCGTTTGCTAAGGCGCCTGAAGCTATTTTTCTCTTCAAAATGAAGCGTTTTGTGCTAATTGAATTCTTTGGTCATCGAGTATCATCAGTAATTTCTCCTTCCATTTGAAATGCAAAATTCACGTTTCCAGATTGCGGGTGTGCATCTTTCACCGAATCTGAGCAGTTCGCTTCTCATTAAGGATCGCGGTGAACATGTGAAAACCTTGACCAGATGGAGTGATATTTTTATCAGGTAACGGAAGTTTTGCGGCAAGTATATACTGGAGTCCGACAAGCTGCCTTTAGGGAAGATTTAACAAACAGTGTAAAGGATTCGCAATCGGTAGACAGCTTTGTCACCAACGCACTAGATGAACGATTATCCATGGCGAAATGCGTGGCAGCAATTGGTGGAGGCGGAAGCCTAAGTACAGGAAGCGTCGGAAGTGCTGCCAATTATGGCTGTGGACTCTCCTACCTTCGAATAGCCAGTCCGCAGTTCAACGTATCGAAAGAGCATGCACATATGATTATGTTGATGAGTTGTGATGTTAACTGTTATGACTAACTGCAGATCTTGACAAAACCTAGATCAGGGCTCGGCACGACGAAATCCCTTTGCACGAGCTCGCTTTTGGGGGCACCCTCCACCTTAATTTAGGAATCTCGAGCTTTTGTCAGCTTATGATAGTAGGATCCCCCTATCAAGCCACTGCTTAAGTCCCGGCGCAAAATGTCGCTTTAAAAGCAAGAAATCGCTTCGTATCACCAAGAGACAAAAGGACCCCAGGTCAGCACCGCCCCATCCAGTAACGCCTGCCCATCCGTGCGTGCTCATCCAATCACCGTTCCGCAAAACCGACCTGCGGGTTTTCCTGAACGGAAATTACCGGGGTTCTCGCGGATTCTCGACTTAAAATTTGGAATCAGAGACATGGGGAGGCTCCGCTACGACTAAAACATGGAAGTCGCGAATATGGGGGTACGGTGTCTCCAACAGCCGGCTTTTTTGAGCTCCCACAAGTGTGCAAAATTGAAAACCCGTTGTGCTAGATGGTACAATTACCTTTTCCTACCATTTTCATTTCAATCCCAAGGTCGAAACTAACTGCCCAGTACTGCTTTTTATAATTCCTTCTCACTTCATTTGAGACTCGTAATACATCAAAATCCTAGCTTCAGAAGGAACGCACCGTAGTTCCAATAACAAGGCAGTTCTGCTAAGGGTTAGAGCAAATCGTATGATTTTTTTAAAGGGCCCCTCGTTTGCTATCCTCGTGCGGGCCTTGATGTAGCTTATGGGTAACCAAGGTTTGAATTGGAAATTGGTTGCTTTATAGAAATTGAGCTTTTTGTTATTGTAGACGGGTTCATGTGTTGCAAATTTGCTTTGTTTCTGTAAACTCTGTCAGTGCCTACATGACTTTTTTTCGCACCTTGGTGTTCACCTGATCTTTTATAATCAAGATTTTGGCATCTTCGGCTTCGTTAGGGCCAGGAAGCAGTCACAAAAAAAGAATGAAACTCAGCTTTCGAAACACCATAAGGTCTTGAGAAACGACGGAGAGTACTTTATTACTTTCCATATCACAGACAAGAGATCTTGAACAAGAAGTGTTCTTCTTGAGATCAGCTATTGCGAACGCAGTCAGAATCACGCTAGCTGACTTCCTCACTAACCGTATGTCACAGCACTACTACAGAAAACTATCGCTAATTCGCATCATGTCCAGATCATTGAACACGGATTTATTCTCGGTCGGTTGAGTGGTTGCTGTTGTTGACTTGTTCCCTAATGTTGGAGCTGAACTGAATGCAAGAAATGAGGCATCAAAACATTCGGCATTGCTTTTAGGCACGCCATTGTGTGCTCCGAACGGATTTGCCGCGGCGAATGCGGGTGAAACATGGAAGTTCTCGCCTGCAATAAATCTATTTTTAGATATTCTGGAAGAGTCTGAAGTCATGCTCCAGAAATGTAATTTGGTTGGGCTACTAGTGTTTCAAGACTGTTCTAGTTTATGTGTGAAAAGCTCCCTCATCAGACCGCCGACGCTGCATCCAGAGTTGCCCGTGTACCAGCACGTGTCAGCGTCGTTCCAGCAACCGCATGGAAGCACCTTGTATTCTAGCGACGGTGCTGGCACGACGCTAGCACGACAATTCCAGACGCTACGTGTCGGTTCAGTAGTATATACAAAGCGTAGAAAATTTTTAAAAACTGCGATAATGGTTTGTTTCAGATCCAACATTGTGTATAATATTTAACTTACGTGGAATGTTTTGCTGAAACACTTCCACTTGCCTAGCTGCGGCGCATGCCCATGACTTTGGATCGTGCACATTGTATCCGAGGTGAATCTGAAATTTGTATGACAAGGTTATTGTACATGTAATTTTGCTCCGTTACCTCTCCCAGTCCTGGATTCCTGACTCCATTTTTGTATAAGGCCAGTATTTCGGATTTGGATTTCACCTCATCCGTCTGAAAGCTGTGGTATAATCAAGTTTCGCTAGTTATCATAAGACTCATGAGCAAGTATAATTCATATAGCTTGCACGATTAAATAGTTCAATGGTTCTAGAGAAAGTTGTGTTGTATAGTTCGGCACAATTAGGCGAGAATGTGAAATTATCGGTTCTTAAGAAGGAACTTTCTTCAGAAAACTGATCTTTTTTACGGCATTTCTGCACATATTTGCTTTTGCTACTATTTCAACCAAAATGTTTTGCTAACAACTAGAGTTATAAATCTTGCATAAGTTGTAACGTATTTTTTCCTCTTTGTTGAACATCTAGATAATCATTTCCTCTGGGTAATTACACATAATTACACCCATCACAGAAGCTATAATCTTTCCGAAGATGATTGAGTAGAAATTATAAGCGAAGTGATCTTTGACCATTTTTTTTGCACAAAAAGTGATTCGTTTTCCTACCGTAGAAGTCTCTCCTAATGTCAATCCAGCCAGATCATCCGAAAGCGTATGTGCTGATGCATTCTAAAATTGGGATTCTAATAAAGATGCCCATCTATTTGCAAATCATACATTTTTGGAAGAGTTTGTCGATGCTGTAGATCCAAAGAAGTCTCCAAACTCATCCACGTCTTCTTTTTCAGTATCACAAATCGAATTTGTATCCGAAGAAGATAGATCAAGTAGTTTTGGCTAAAACACATTAATATATGAATGCAAAAATTTGGCATGGTACAGAATCTTACTGAGGTATCATAGGTATCTGTTCTATCAAAAGTGAGTAGCTGCGAATTGCGTGGGCTAAGTATGGATGGTCTAGCTTCTTTATTTTCGTGTGTGGAAACTGAAACAATGATGCCTGTTTCAAAGTTGATTTAATTTTAGAATAAATAGAGAGAGCAATCTAAAATTCCTCAGCCAGGGAGAAAACTCACTTTTGGGAGCATCAGCATGTTTTGTAGGGTGTAGAGGTAAGTCATCTGCGTTCACTTTCGGAGGAATCCAGTTTGGTAAGATGTACCTTAACAGCATTTTTGAGAATATCAAAGTGGGCGATACGCTAATGGTCTGAACCTTTTATGCTCGTATTTTCCACGTATAAAAGATTCCAGGGCTTGATCAGTAGTTGGCCTTCTGAAGTGATTTGGAAGTTCGCTTTCATAAACTTGCTGAAATGTATGGGTTCCAGCTTAACACTGATGATTGATTAAAGCAATTATAATAACTAGAAATTCATTTCACGATGTCTGAGATCTTCTTAACCAGTAATAACGAACTTGCAACATCTCACAATATAACCCAAATTCGGAAGAAATTTGAGTTCAGAGTGCTTACGGTTACAGTGGGTATTACTGTAGATCATTCTGTTCAGGACACTGTTAGAGTTCTAACTATTTAGTGAAGGGCGGAAGTAGAAGGTAAAGGACGCGACGTGCTCTATAATCCCCCCCCCCCTCCCGGGTGGGCATCTACCACAAATCATGCATCTCAACTCTATAGCCCGTAAAAGTTCTCCGCGCGCATGAAGCCTAGCGATATGACGTCATCTCATAGGAGGTGTACGCTGACTGCCTTGATTTTCATCTTCCAGATAAACAATAGAAGTTTTTTTGATGTTTCAGAAGTATAAAATGCAAATGGCCTAAGCCAGAGATAGTCAAAAAATTGGAACGAGAAGTAAACTGTTTCAACAAAACTAATAAATCTACCTTGGCTTTAGCATTTCCCATAAGTCGCATAGATTGCACTTGCTCAGCTGTCCATGAGTCCAAGTTTACCGATTTGACCTGTAACTTGCGCTTGTACATTTTTCCAAGAATTTAGTAAAACTGAGTGGCTTCATACTTTGGATATGTGGACTCCCATGTTACGATGTATTCCAGCACATTTTATGCAAATGAATACGCCAAGATTCCACGATGCCCATCTGAAAATACATACGATTTATTCGTGAGTATTTTTATCCGAAGAGAGAGATAATCCGAGAAGTTGCAGATTTGCCTAGAGTTCTTTTATCCGTTGAAGTCAAAAAATTTCTTTTAAAAGAGTGCGGTAATTATTTGACATTATAGTTAAATCAAGTCACATGTAACGCAAAAACATTGTGAAAAGGAATAAATTTTCTGAAGAACGTTCATCCCCAACAACAAGCAATACCTTGGCTGTTTGGCGAGACAATCGGCACAATGTTTATTTTCCTCTTCTCTTAGCAATTCCACAATGAAGCCTGAAATTGAGGGAGATATTTGACAGAATATAGGAAAGAATAGGACATATAGTGAGAAGAACAGTTAGGCACGTTGCTAATCGTTCAATGCTTAATTAACTCTTTGAAGCTGTATAATTTCTAGGAAATGAGCCTCAAACCATTGAAAATTCAAAAAATCATCTGGTGGAAAAAGACGAATAGAAATTGAACTGATGTTTCTTGGCGACTTTGATATGAATCTTCTCAAAATCTATCTGTGGGTTTGATGGAATGCCACACCATATAAAAAGAGAAAAAATTTGAGGAACAGGATTATTTGGTGACGATCTTATTCAAGTATTTTTCAAATACATACGGATTATTACAGAAATTTGGCTGAGTTTATTTCGAAATCTTGACCGGATAGAGGTGATTTTAACGACTGCCTGATTTGTGCAGCAGTATTTCCCACATCTTTTTTGCTTCGGTCCGCATAAATTTTTTTCTCGACTTGAATAACTTATTAACTAAAGAACTTACTATGTAAGCGATCCTGTTCGTTCTTTTTGAGCTGATTTTTTGTGCCCGGAACCATAGTGTCGTCTCACCTGCACTTTGTAAAACCAGCCAAGTGGAACACACTCGAGCGAGAAGCTGAAAAAGGCAAGGGCTTGCCGAAGCAATGCTAGATGAATATGCCTCCGGGTAGTGCGTTATAACTAAGCATTATCCCGCACAGAGGCATATCGATTTTCATTTGAGACCCGCCCATGCGAGTCGAATAAAAAAGGTGATGAGAAAGAGTTTAGAAATGCGCAGAGGCAGTAAATTAGCATGTAGGCATGCATTTCATTGCCCCAACACATCTAAGTAGGTTTTTTGAAGTGTTTCGGAATGGGAAAGGGGTCTATAGCTGCATTTTGAAGAAGATGACGTTTGGAGTCAGTCAACTTACACATAGAGTCAAAAGACTCCACCAAGTATATTGAGAGCCACACCTTGATGCGGGATGCATGGAATACTGTAGATAGACTGCGAGTCTCACGTTGCGCCACCGACTCTCTTCGGTAAAATTACAGTACCTGTCGTAAAATCTTATTTTTTTGTTTGTTACATACATATGATATCCTATGGTAACAAGACAACAAAATGCATGTATTCTGAACAACAAATAATAATCTTTTTTAGTAACAATGACATAACAAACAACAAATACAATTTCACGGTGAGAGTATAATGAAGTTCTTTATGAGTGCTCAAAATTGTGAAAATTCATAAGGTGCATTCCCCTCTTCATTGATTATCAAGATCCTGTTTACGAAGAATATTCTACTTACAATCCTTCTCGCTTTAGGTACAACCATCTTCCTTGGCCCTGGTCTTGTTGTGATGTCCTCTCTTCAAAGAAGTAGAGCGGGTCCACTTGATACTCTTCAAATAGTATTTTATGAGCCGTAACTAGGCCTATTTTGTGAGCCGTAATTAGGCCAAGCATCCTCTTTTTACGGATAGACTAGTTTCAAAAATGTCACTACGTTGATATTTCTTATGCTAAAAAATCACTCTGTCAACTGCGCTATTACCCGCGCACTGCTTTCTCTGAAATTACCTTTCCTTTACTGTAGACCAAAATATGACCCTTCACTTGGTACTTCTACATAACAACTGGAATGAGTCCCAAAAGAGCATTTTCTAGCTATCTTGTGTGTTTTTGTGTGTTTATATCTAAGCGTCGAAGCTGCTGAATTGTCTAATTATCCTCAGAATCAATATGTCGTGCTCCGTCAACACGATATAGCCTTGCCTTGTTTGCTCAACACACCTAGGATAATCGATGTACTAAAGGGCAGAGGAAGAATGTTCTCCTGAGACATACATTCTTTTTATCCTCACGAAATTCCAAATATTTACATAAATTACACGAAGGTGCTTGACTGTACGTACCAAACTCCAAATCGGAAATCTTTAACCTATAGCAAAAAGTTCATTAGATCTAACAAATGCTCCCTCTCTTCCAGCGGAAGTCAACATATGAAATTTCATTGATAAAAAAACATAAATTGCTAATTCATTTCAATCACAGGCAGTTTATGGATTAACAACAGCAATCTACAACCAATGAATCTTTCACTGACAATCGAGCGGTTATGACCTAACGATTTCTCAACAGTAACAACTTGTTACTAAGGATTTAACCTTTATGCTTCATCACATTGCGATGACGTCGACGCGGATGAGCAGTGACAGTATGGCGCCGACGGTCCAGTACGTAGTTACCGATATGTTGTGATGAATCGTCTTTAGTTACATTCAAAGGAATTTGGATCACTTCTCGGTAGCCCTGAAAGCACTTCTTACAGCAGAACACTTTAGTGAGACATATTTTCCATAAATGAGGTGCAATCGGATGCGGTTTTAGTCTTGATGTTTGGAGAATTGGCACGGTATAGACCAGCTTCAGTCCTACCTTCCGATTATACAAGGTGGTCTAAAATGACCTGCACGTGTTTTCTTGGCTGCCAAAATAAGACAAGACAGGCTTGACAACAGATCATGTTTTCACCCATCATTACTATCGTAGCGCAATAGTCAAATCAGAATTTGCTTGCTTTAACTTTCGAGGAAATCCCGATTCCCTCGTAAGGCACAGGGCTCGGCACGAGGTGGCCAGATGAAAATGCAAAAAAATGAAGTCCCCTTGAATTTTGCAAATTTTTACGAAGTCCCCTTTGAGCCTAGATCATAGTCCCCAAAAAATCTCCAAAAACCGAAATGTCGACTAGAAAAACGTCGCAAAAATGTTGTATCTTTGGCCACAATAACGAAACAAAATGGTAAGGTAATGTGCTTTGTATGCAAGGACAAATTTGCAAGTTGGAATTACGTATCGCAGAATCGCGATCTGTATTCTGATCGCGACTATCGCAACTCGCAGCTGCGCGAAGGCACAGCTGCAGAAGTTAACATGTGTGCTCTTCGGAGGGGCTGCCTTTGTTAACTTCACTTCGCTCAAGACAACGACCGCGCCTCACCTCGTCAGAATCATCGCTTCCCGCTATCGCCCATTAACCTCACTATCAAATATTCTCGCCTCATATATTCTGTGTTGTTAAGACGTCGTGACAACTGGAAGTGGTCAAAGCGAACACATGGTGCATCGGCTAAAAAAGAAAGCGGTACGATTTGTTTGCTGAACGCACTGCATTCGGGCTTTGCTTGAATAACTAGAGGGAATTTCCACCGCGATTTTTGCCTGACTAAGAGCGAAGATGAAATTGAAACTCTACGAAGAGAGAATAAACGCTCGTAAAGCCATTCCACCTTTGCCTACTCCAGAGGTCTTCTACTGAGGATTTCTAGAGCATTTCGAACAGCTAAATCAGACAATGTTCACCGTCAACCGATTGAAAAAAGATTTAGCGAAGATGTGTCTGTTGAAAGAAAAATGGTCGGAACGCTTGGCATTGCTACAAATGAGAGAGCAGAATGCAAACGACACAGACTGGAACTCTCGTATTTGAAGAATCAGTTTCGCACATTCTCGGTTATACCGCAGTTCCTTGATGCCACAGATGTCATGTCCACCGACGCTTGGGAAGGCTGAAACAGCGACAGATGCGGGACCCGTACTTATGACAGATTTCGATGACATCAATATAGCTATCGAGGATCATGTGCGCGCTAGAGGTCATCAGTCAACGACTCCTGGACATAGCAAGCGAATGCAGCACGAAGAGCGAACTGAGCGTGCCACTCGCGAGGAGCAGATCCTGAACGCCATTAACGCCTTGCCAACCGTACCCTCTATCGGTGCTGAACACCTGCAGCATGCGTTGCTGGTATGCATGGTGCGCTAGGAAGCTAGGAAAGGACTACCCAAGTAAAGGCAGGTGTTATTGTCTTCGGTAGACTCGACGACAAGGGCACTGAGGGTATAGTGCTAGCGCGCTCACATGTCGAGTCATAGCCGCTTTGGAGCTGATGAGTTGCAGGTGGAAGGGATCCAGCGGATTGGAAGGATGTTTGACGGATGACGGACGGATCGAAGGACGACTGGTGGATGGAGACCTGGACGGGAGAGCGTAAGAGTTGTATCGTTGTACGTGCATTTCAGAGCTGTATCGGAGGGCGCGAAGAGCTGCATCGGTGCAGACTTCCGTAGGTGAAAATTCTGTTTTCCCTTTCTTTTCTTCCCTTTTCCTTCTTTTCTAGTGTTCTGATCTTGTATTCCTTTTCTTCTGCCCCTTTGAATGAGTGGATGAGCGCTTGACGCGCGAAAACAAGTTTTCCGGCCTAATTCTCTTTCTAGGCTACTTTGGGTCCCGACGCGAATACTATCTCCAAGGAACGCGCGCTCGTCAATCTAGCCGATACACGGACGGCTTACGATTGCGAAATAGCATTGAATGAGGCGCTCGTCACTTATTTCATCATTTGTTGGGAGCAGACATGTTCACTTCTTCTCCTGTAATATAATGTTTGTTCTATGTGATTAGTTGGTAGTAGTGATATCTTTTAACTTTTCGCACGTCGTGCTCGTATTTCACCGTTGTAACGACTCTTACTATAAGTTCCTGTTCAGTGCCAATCGACTTTGGAAGTTGTCAATTATCGTCCATTAATAAACGTTACCAGTCATTTGCCAGTTAATCTAATCCACGAGTCTTCTCAGGGATCAATACAAGTAAAAAGTTTTATAATTCCTTTTGTCTTCCTTTTCCCATATCATCTTGGGGCTTCTTCTTTTTTCACGGCAGCGCACCAGATCTGCGCGTTACCGTTTGACGTCCCACTGAAAGCACCGGTCCTCCAGGAAAAGCAGCAACCCCCGCAGTCTCCATCCGCGGAGTCAGCAGAACTTGCTGGCGAGCCTAAAACCACTCCGATGACGCGCGAGTCCGAATCCCAGCCACCCCAGAAACTGATGGAGCAAAGATTAGCGTCTGCCACCCCTCTTTGGCCTTTCTTTGTCGCGCGGGAGGGTGGACCTGAGTTCACCCACCAGGGCCGCTGACTGGAAGACATCGTCGACAACCGCCTTGCATCTTCTGTAGTGGGGAAGGGCATTTGCGGCATGCAACGTTGTGAAGAGGATGACCCACGAGTGCGGATCGCGTTAGAAAGAGGATTCCATTTGATGTGTCTGTGGAAGCACTGTGGACACTGCAGGAGAGATTATGTGTGCAACAACTGTAGCTAGGCGCGCCACCATCGCGCATTCTGTCGACGCGATAGGTGGTTGTACAGGACATAAGATGCCACCGACGAATTCAATATCTGGTTGCACCGACTTACCCACCTCCCAGTTCCATCTGGGAATTTCCTTCAGACGCGCGCCGGAACATCCCAGCCTCCACGCGGCGCACGCAATTAGGTAAGTAGGAGTGAGCACGTGGACGGCTTTTTGAATGAAGTGGAGCGGTTGGTATTTTCCAGCCCTTCTAAGAGTGTTGACTCCATGGAATATGTTTATTTTAGCAAGATCTAGCAGTTCGTATGGTTATGTGAGCGTTACTCTAATATGGCTGATACAGACGCGCACCGAATATGCATGATGATCCGTTGGTATCCGTCGAGCCGAGCCGCAGCCCCGCAGCCTACAGTCGTAGCTGTATATATTTGTATTTAATCATTTCTTGTTTAAGTTCTGCCGTTGACTACCCAGTTGACTGCCTGAATTCACCTAGTTATTTCTATTAATCGATCTCAGTCAACCACTCATTTATTCTGTCTATTCATCTGTTTGGTAGTACGAAGCGCATCATTACGTCTACTTATACCCTTTAGTTATTTTGTTCGTTCACTTATTTGGTAGCATTTACGGCTGGTAGCCGCGCCATAATAATCAAGCTCACTTATGATCATTTAGCCTTTTGTGTTTTCTGTGTGTTCATCTGATGCGCTACGGGACGGGTGCTTTTCTTTATGTCGTTCTTAACGCGCTTACCTGGAATACCGATGGATTTATTCGGTACTTTTCCGTTATCCGAACCCATTTTTTCAAAGAAGGATATCGCTTCTTTCTTGAGATAAAAGAGGTAGATGATCTACGAATGCTCATCCAAGAACTAGAAGAACGTCCGACTTGCGCTCGACGGCGCACTCAGTACGGAGTCATCCACCGAGAAAGTGAACGACACTTACGCTGTGCCTTTTGTGACGCCTCCGGCCAGCATTATTCGGACTCCTGCCCTCAGGTCCAAGACGCAGAATCAAGGAGGCGCATTTTGGACTCGGAGAGACGCTGTTACATGTGCTTCGAGGTCTTTGTAATCGTATGCCCTGGGGGCAGGAGATGCAGGAAATGGGGGAACCCGTGCTATCATTGCCGGACCTATGAACATCATTCCGCAGTGTGCGAATTCTCGGAAAGAAGCGAGGTCGTTCGCGGACGCTTGGAACGAGCGCGAGGAGCCTTACGCTCCGCTGAAAACAGACTTGAGAGACTTCGCGAGGAAGTGAGAATGTTTCAGGATAACTAAGGTGGGGCGGGAGTATCGCGGCTTACAAGCGCGATTTCTCCTGTATCATTTCATGCATTTTGTTTCCCTTCCCATGACTTGCGTTATCATCATCTTTCTATATAAAGTGCAGGGGGGGGGGGCCATCTGACGTCACGCTGCCGAGACGATGTCAACAATTCCGTCTGTCTCGAATGCACCCACTGCACCCAAATTGATGACTCATTTTTTGCTTGAGCCTATTTCTCGAGTTGTTGATCAGTGTGCTCTTTCACACAACTTTAAAGCGGTAGAATCGATTAACTATATTTCCAACAACGACAGCCTCTCACAGCTTTCTGAAGACGTGTTGCTCTATAGCATCAGACAATTCCACTTTTATTTCAAATGTACTGCAACAGCGACCGTAGATGCGAATTTTTAATCTTCTCAGTTTCAATAGTCGCAAATTCGCTCATCTCAATTGTTTGTGCAAAATTTCCATACAGCGAAAGCAGACAAAACAGCCCACCTTGGGCTGAGATTGAAGGAAATGGAACAGGTAGAAAGGTTCCGGGGAAATAAATCGAGGTCTGGGAAGTTTTGACGAAAAAAACTCGCCGTCAGAAACTGCCGTTAACGTTCCAGAGGTTCCTGGGAAATAAATCGAGGTCTGGGAAGTTTTGACGAAAAAAACTCGCCGTCAGAAACTGCCGTTAACGTTCCAGTTGTGTATAAAGACAATATAGAATCAATGCAGTGGCTTCACCATTAGAGTTGCGCATTTAAACCGCAGTTTTTTTTTTTGCCAAAATACTGCGCAATCCAAAAATCGTGTGAGCAACAAAGATTTGTTTAGCTCAGCAGCTGAAAGCAGAAGCACGCTTCGATGGTAGGATTCAAAAGAAACAACTAATAGCCTACTGAGATGAGCTAGGAAGTGAGTGGTTTTAGGGCAGTTTGGCAGAAATTGCATGGATGTTTGACAGTTCGGCCTGTATAAAACGCGAACAGGGAGTTTCGACTGTAAGATTTTTTTAGTTGAAGAAAATTTGCGCATGTTTCCAAAAAAGCACCTTGCCGAGGAAGGGTAGTTTATGAATTCAAAAAATTCTAGATTCAAAAGTTGTAATGTCCGCTAAATAGCTTCACAAATGTAAGTTGTGATGTCTTGCTGATTTGATCTATGAGTTCAAAAATAAGAGAACTCGAAGAAGTTTGGGGAGGGGGGGGGGAGGGGAAATGGTGATTCCATGCAAGGAATGACACTCAATGTAGGAAGGACCTCGGATGGGAATAGCAAGCGAGTGGTCAGCGCTGAGAGAAGTCTGTCCAGTGTGAGATGGTCACTTCGGCCAGATGTACTTTTTTGAGTTTGTAAAAGTTTGGAGCATCCGGATAGCCGCAAAATGTCGAAGGAATGATAGCTTTGTCAAGTACAATATGTCTCAATCGCAATAAGGCTGAAACCTTCGATGGAAACGCGCGCCCGCAGCGCAAACCCTTTGCGCTGCATTTGCCCTCATGCCATCATAGTCGAAGAAAATGATGAGGGAATGGAGAGGATGAGAGGTCCCAAACGACTATTCGCAACAAATCGCAGACGTGATGCTGACCCATGGCTTGGATAAACGTGTAAGCGGCGCATTCGAATACGGCAGATTCGATGCATGACCCGAAGGTGGTTGTGTTAGATCTGAGAAGTGTAAGAATGGTGAAAGATTGGTAGATCAGAGATATCATCTAGAATCTTTTGTGCAAAAAGGACTTGGTGGGGGAGAGGGGAAAGAAGGCAAATTGCCTAAAAGAAGGACAAAGAGTTTGCAAAGCGCAATAATATGGAAAACTATCTAATCCTCTAGAGCATAGAAGGAAATAGTGGTGCGGATAAAAGAAGTTGGGAGAGAGCAGTCAATCTGTTGAGACTTTTGTTAAAAAAACTCTGGAACTTAACAGGAGGGAAGATTCGTTACCCTTGACTAATCTCCCAGAATAAGGTCAATAAATTACCGTATTTTGAGGAAGAAAAGATTCTCAGCAGAACTTCGTAAGTTCTAACTTTTAGTTTTAGTCACATCTTACTTTACACACACACACAACCAGTTCAAAGCGCCTTCTATAATAAAAAATGGCAAGGTTTTGCACTTACATGTTGACAAGCTGCGGACTGAGGCGAGTGATTGCGGTGGGTGCGGAAAGTACAGATTTGTCAACAAGGCTAGCGTGTTTTCGTAGGGTAAGCATCGTCCCTCTTCGAGGAATGTTTTCGAAAGGGGTGCGGCTATTAAGTGCAAAAAGGCTATAGTTGCGGAGGTGCCGACACTCTCGTAAGGTTGCCTAACAGTTCCCCCCCCCCCCTCTTTCACAAGTTTGTACTTGGAGGTATGATTTGGGAACTCACTGTCTTGCGTAAACATGCTGTAGTAGTTTCTCAAAGTTTACGCTTCGACTGTTCACATTCTCATCTTCCTGCTAAAGTTCTTGGCTCCAATAATTGGTTAGAGGCTGCATGGCTTCATGGCTGCCCATAACTGGTGAGGACTGATGAGGACAGTTCTTTGTTCTTGTCGAAATAAAAGGTGAGCGGCACGTAGGGCGGTTCTTACAGGTCCCTAGAGCTCATATTGCAATCATTTCTCACAACTCCGGTCTGTTCGTTGTCCATTGGGCAGATCTTTCAATGGGTAAGTTGTTCAAAGGGCACTTCCTTGATTTGTAGGGGCTCTTAAGGCACTTCTACTAAACATATTGATCTGTAAGCTCTCCTAGGTAGTTTTTTCGACAGTTATCGGGTTCGAGGGGATTTGAAGGGTGCTTTTCTCAAAGTGTAGGTCCGCAAGTGGGACATCTCATTTTTGTAATTATAGTTCTATAGGTGGCTAGGTTAAATAGGTATTATAGCCCCTATAGTTCTATAGGTGGACCGTCATGCGGTTCTTCTTAAATACGATTGTAGGGGGAGGGGCTCGTAGGACAGTCATTCGGTTATCGTTCCAGCTTCTTGTAGGGCACTTTTTAGGTTATTAGTTATATCTCATGCTGGTCTATAAGCGGCCAAGGCACCTCCTGGAATTGTCGGTCAGCGAGTTTGTATGAAACTTAAATATCGTAAGCGGTTCAAAATTGTTTTTTCTCAGGATACTGGTTTATGAGGGACTCTTGCAAAGCGGTTCTTTCTCAAATATCGACCTTTGAGCGGTTCTTAGAGCAGCTTTCTTTTTCGAGATATCGGTTTGAGGGCTTGTAGCTCAGTTCTTTTTGATGTATTGGTCTGCAAGCGGCCCATAGGGTAGTTCTTTCAAATATTGGTTTTCAAGAGGCGAGGGGCAATTCTTCAGAGAATATCGGTTTGCAACCTCCTCTCCCCCCCCCGTGCAGGGTGGCTCCATCCAGTAATTATCTATTTACAGGCGGCCCATAGGGCAGTTTTTTTCCTTGAAATATCGGTCTAATCCCATACGACAGTCTTTCTCAAAGTATTGGTTTGTAGGTGGCCCGTAGAGCAAGTTTATCACAAATTGGTTTCTATGGATTCCAAGGGCAATTCTTCCTCAAAAAATACCATTGTGTAGTCTCTAAGTAGCTGGTAGCTTCATTTTTTCATAAAAATTCGGTTTTTGGCTGCCCATACAGTAGATCATATGTTAGCGCCTCGTAGGGCAAAACAGTTTGTAGGTGTTGGTAATTAAGAATATTTTAGGATATCGGGCTGATCCCCATAAGAAAGTGCTTCTTCATAACTGTTGGTCTGTGGGGGAAGGAGGGCGGGGGGGGGGGGGGTTATAAAATAATCGTCCTCAGAATATCGGTCTGTAGGGCGGCATTAATGCGGTTCTGTCTCAAGTAAGAGTTTGTTGAGGTCAAGGGAGGGGCCTTTAGGGCATACTTTCTAAACCGGTCTACAAGCTTCCCATAGGGGCATTCTTTTTCTATAAAGGTCGGTCTGTAGGAAACTTGTAACTCCTTAACACATGGACTGTTAGTGGCCCATAGGGTAATCTGTTCCTATGATTACCGGTCTGCAGCGGCACGTAGGGCTGTTATTCTTTGATATATGGGTTTGTAACGACGTAAAGATATGTTTTAAGCAGCTCATAGCTTCTTCTCAGAATATTAGCTTGTCGTACATATAGGGCGGTTGCTTCTTGAAATGATAGTCTCCAAGCGGCTCCTAGGACATTTTCTGAAGGTGGTTTGAAGATTTGAAGGGCAATTCTTTTGAAATATCCGTCTGTGTGTGGCCCATAGCGGGACCTCTTGTCAAAGTGAAGAACCGCAAGCGGCTCTTAGGGTCCTTTTCACGGGCAGTTCTTTTTGAAAATATTGTTTTTGAAAAATATCGATTTGTAAGCAGCCCACAGGCCAGTTACTCCCCAAAATAAGGGTCTGTAAGCGACCCGCAGGGCATTTTCCTCTGATGACTAATTGCCGTCTGCGGCCTGTCCGTAGGCAGTTTTCGTCTGTAGGCAATCCATACGGCTTCGTTGCAATACTGGTTTGTAGAGGGGGGGAGGGGGGTTACGGCAGATTCATTCCAGAGTATAATATCACTTGTAGGGGTTCGAAGGACAGTGCTTTCTCAGATTACCACGTAGGGCCGGCCCGTATGTAAGTTTTTTCCCTTATGAAGTATCATTGTGGAGGACGCAGAACAGCTCTTACGTAGATTGCTCTGTAGGCGTACGCGGAACGGGGTTTATTTACAAAAGATGGTCTGTAGGCGAGAAAATAATGCTTGTTTTCGCTGCCGAAATTTTTCGGGGACTAAGGTATTTTTTCACTGTTTGTCTGAGTTACTGTAGACTACATCGTCGTTTCGAGAGTCGCTGCTTGGTGACTCTCAGCGGAGATCGGTAGAAAAATTTGGCCCAAAGAGAATTTTTAGAAGGGGCTCAGATATCGATTAATCAGCTATGAAAATTCTTAATAGAGAGTCAAATCACTGATTAATCGGTTTCATGTTGCCCAGAACTAACAGAAAAGATATAAAACGTAGAGTGATTGTGGTGACAACTATAAGGCCAAAAAGTGTTGCCCCAACCCACTTGCAAGCGGCCCTTATGGTCGCTAGTCAAACTTATCATTACAGAAGCGCCGCATGAGACGATGAAGAAAGAAAACAAGTATAAATGGCAATGGTCAAGCAGACAAGCCTCTTTATCGCCCTCGTTGGATCACTCATTTTCACTTTATCTCTTTTACCAGCTTTTCGCTTATATTTTGATTGCGTATCACTTCTTGAATTGCTTCAGTAGTGCGCCTAGGAAATCTGCCTAATGTAGTGCTCATGTATTTACTTGTTTTGCTTTTACGCAATAAATGCTCGGTTTAATTACCAAGTTTGAGGTAATCGCCAATAAACTGTCCGTTCGCTTGGTTGTTGGTTTGGCTTGTTCGAGGGTCTCTGAACCACCGAAACTTATTATCAAGGAACAGATTGGACATGCCCAGAAAAGAAAACTGCGCTAGATTTCCATCATCTCAGAGCGGCGAAACAAGTAGTAGCGAGGACTTCAAGCCATCCGTAGTCTATTCTGGCCAAATTCGCATGGCGACAGAGTCTGAAGAGATATATTTTTGAGTCATTGTTGGAGGTATTAAGTTCCAATATGTAGGAAGTTCTAGTATAAGTCCTAAATTGTTTTGCTCATATAGGAACAGTTAAACAGTTTTAGGTGATCAAAAATGCTCTTTTATGTCACCAGGGCTGGTATGTATCAATCGCCCGTCCGGGTAAGTTACCCGGACAGATAGTTTCCGCTTCATAGCTCGGTGCTTTGGGGATCTGTGCTCTTCCATGTTCGTTCATCTTTCGAAGGCTCTACTACCCTAATACTGTAGCACAATGAGTAGCAGCACTTTGCTGTATAAGCTGAGATAATTCGTTATTTCTATGATCCCGAGCGGGATCTCCCACTGATCACGCTCATTTTCAAAGTTATTTATATCCGCAAAAACTCAATGAAAACGTCATAGAGTTTTGCTGTCGATCTATTACGACAGTGCTACGCATGTTTGTGAAAGAAATAAGTGGAAAATCAAGTTGACAAAATCTTCGATGAACCTGTGCTCGCGAGTTGGGCTTTATCGAAGAACTCAAAACTTGCACATTTCATCTGTTATACTAAAAACACGCGTAGCACTGTCGTAATAGATCGACAGCAAAACTCTATGACGTTTTCATTGAGTTTTTGCAGATATAAATAACTTTGAAAGTGAGCGTGATCAGTGGGAGATCCCGTTCGGGATCATACAAAAAACAAAATATCTCAGCTTACAAAGTAAAGTGCTGCTACTCATTGTGCTACAATATTAGGGTAGTAGAGCCTCCTATAGATGAACAAACAAGGAAGAACACAGATCTCCAGAGCACCGAGCTATGAAGCGAAAACTACCTGTCCGGGTAACTTACCCGGATGGGCGATTGATACATACCGGCCCAGAAATGATTTTTTGAAAAACATGCCAAACTGGACTAAAATGTGTCAGTCTTTTCCTGACACGTGGCAGGGAGGAAGTCCTCGTAGAATCTATTTTAAAAAATTTTCAAACTAGGTAGCGTAATTTATGAGAGCCTTTTGAAAATAGGTCCGGATAACGGAGAAGTACCGATGGATTTATTCTTTTCTTGTCTACTTCCAAAACCCCATATGGTAATACCCTCAGTTGTCGCCAGCGTCATCACGTAACCACCAAGTCGAGCGCTCAAGTCACTGTTTCGGAGGAAGAGGGGAGGGGGAGGGAGTGTCGCTTCTCCGAGATGCAGAGCGCTCTAGGAACAGATGCCGGGGGCGCTGTATGCCACATTTGCCTGTCGCGCCTTTTGCAGGCTGCTCAGGACCACCTCCGGCATGGAGCGTAGCCAAGTGGCGGGGTATATAGGGCTGCGCGCGAGAGGAGCCCTCGCTATTTCGACCTGATTATCGGTCATTTTTATCATACTTGGCTACGTTCTAAGCGGCTCCCTCAGTTGAGGATTCTGGTTGAGCGGTTGAGCCTTTTGTCGTCTTGTGGATTGAACGCGCGTAGGCGCGAGGAGGTTTGGAAGTTGTAGATGAACATCGTCGCGGGAGTGGAGCTAGTAAGTGCACCCTTTCACTGGACTGGGCCTACTGCGGCCGACTCTGAGGAGAAACCCAGAACTTCCTGGCTGGATTGAATCTTTTATACACCGGTATTCTGGGATGCGCGCCTAGTCCCGTATCTTATCCTAATCCATTCCGTTAGGGTAGGAGTCTTTAGCTTATTAGAATTTTCTTGTTCTTATCTATTGTATCGTTGTTCAATATATAAACCCATCTAATCTAGTCGTGTTCTGTACTGGTTGGTTAATTTGGTGACAGCGTCGTGTGGATGCGCCGTAGGTGTCGGACGCGAACCAGGGCTGGGGATTGGTCTGTGGATGGCGGTCGAGCGAGGCTAGGGGGTGCTGAGCCCACCGAGCCGCAACAACAGAAGAACGGACGTTTGGAGCGCAGTGACCTCAAAAGCATTTTGAGCCATCTAAGAAGAGTAACGCTCCATTTTCAAACTGCGCTGGATTCAAAGTGTAGCACACATCTCACACTTGGTTATGTAACTTTACAAAAATCTGGACTCGAAATACTGGAGTTTTAGAAAAGGAGCTTCGTTTGAGGTGGAGGTATTCGTAAAACTATGAACCGCTGAAAATTTTTATTCGACGCGAAAACACCCTATGAAACCGATTTTTATTCTTGTACCGCATATGCCGTTTAGTTTTCGAACTGTCCCGAAACACCCAAATATAGAGTGTTTGTATAATCATGAACTGCACTTCATTGAAACATTCGAAATCATGTGGTAAATACCAGAACAAGTGCAGGGCCAGGGAAGCAGTAAAGACTAACTTTCCAACTCGCTTAGCAGTGTACCCATCTTGCTTAATGTGAAATAGCACTATAAGATGTCTACCAAAAACACTCACTCTACAGTAATGGATGGCTTCAATGTAGGGCTCGATCCCGCCAAATTCGTGTTCACGGCCCGTCAATAAAAAAGTCTCGCCATAGGAGGCTGAATCGTGCGCCAGAATATCGTCCGAGTCGATCATATTTAACAGCCATACTGTAAAAAAAGAAATTTTTCTAGCATTGTAGAGTAGTGATAGCCTCATATTGAATGGCTCGTGCTTTTTAATTCCTGAATAGAAATGCTGCAGTTAAGAGTGTTATTTTCTTGTCTCATTAGGAAATTTTCAATGAAACATTCTATCAAAATCTTGCGATTGCTCGAATAGAGAAAAGAGTAAATTTCAAAAATAAACGCAGCACAATATGTGTTCTGCACGTAGCAAAGTTATAACTTTAAACTGTTTCTATCCTAACTCTCAAGAGTTCATCACTTGGACAAGCATTGAGGGCAAAGCCCGCTGAGAATCGAAAGTCCCAAATCAGTGCGAATCAGTACTAGAACCAACAATGCGAAAAGCTCGCAATTCATAATTTTGGAAGGAGCGATGCGTATAATTGTAGAAGGCAAAAATGGTTTGTTCTAACATCATCACACGCTCCAAAGCTCATACTTGAGGAACTTTAGAAAACAGTTTGGGATCACAGAAGAACTGAATAGCAAATTCAACTGAAGAGTTATAATTTCTCGTGCCTGGACAAAAACGTTGTTGAAACGTGTGTATTTCAGCAGATGTAGTCAAACATAACTTGAAAAGATGAGGACTCGGCCCTCACCGATTCAGAGTGCGAATTGGCAAGTGGTCTATAATGTTTATGAGATCATGACGTTAAGATGCTGTTATTTGTAAGCAACTGAAATAATTTGAGTGTCGTGGAATCGTGCAATCAAACCAGCCTGTAAATGTTATAAAAGGAAGTGTTAATTGGATTTGCTACGCCATGCTCTTTTTTCAGAAACTGGCATCACAACGCGGGAAAAGTTTGAGAGGCCGATCACTTTCCCTCTCATCTGGAAAAAGTTTACTACGCTCCCTATCCCATGATTAGCTATGATCGCCATTGGCACGAATGTACCAAGAACTTCTCATCTTCATGATCCTCGTACCCATTGCTTCAACCAGATTGTCTGCGGAAGGCGAGGCTTCAAACCTAGGAGGCGACGGCTCGCGTCCGCGACGCAATCTGCGCCTCCTTTGCGAACATGCTCTCTCATCAATTCCTAGCCTTAATTAGGTCACGGAGCCCCGCCTTCCAGCCGCCGATCTCGTTCAAGCAAAGGTTACAATGTTCTTTCGATCAGGATTCAGAACGTTATGTTGTATGTTGTGAAAACGCACTGAGTTCCCGAACGATGATTCAGCGAGAGTAAATCACCAAGCATAATACACGGGGCAATGGAGATCGTACCATTACGATGATACAGTTTTTATAGTGTTGCGCTGAAGAAAAAACAGTAAAGTTTACTCACCACCGCTAAAATCTTCCTCCATCAATTTCACATCTATAGGAATGATATTTCTCCGACGAACACAAACAAATTTTCCACGAACCGCAAGCTCTACGCCGTAAACGTAAGTAATGTAAAGGAGTATCCAAAGGAGACAGTAGAAGTTTAGCATAGAACTGCAAGAATGATTAGATTGGATTTTTACAATATGCCTGTGACAGACCGGATCTGAGTACAAGAGGTGTGGACCTGGGCTGACAAACACGTGAATGATGAGAGTTGTTCTGTTTGCAAAGACTGATCACTTCCAATTTCTTCAGCTCAACCCATTAGTGCTTACCTACTACTCAAGTCTCTAATAATTTTTGAAATCGACTTTAGAGGGTGTCTCAAAAAATGCGCTTACTGTTTAATTGTTGATAACTCTCTTGTAATAAAGTTTTGTAGGAAGCTTTAGGGGCAGTTTTGTAGAGCTAGTTTCAACTTAGTTTTAATTTGTGGAGCGGCCTGTCGAGTACCTGCGAGATTACGGTAGAAACTTTGAAGCGGGTTTTGAGCCATGAAAGGTCATATTTTGCCTCAGAAAGGAAACAACAATTTGGAACCCACACTGGACTAACTGAGCTGATTCTAAGTGTAAGGTCCGCAACTCATCATATAGTTTCATTATGAATTTATGCGAGATAAGCTGTAACAGCCGTTGTTTCAGTGTTCCTAAAAAGTGCGGTTACACCGTTTAGAATGCTTCATACTTTCGTAAAAGCTTGTATTGAACTCAGCGTCCATGAAAACCCCATATACAAGTTCTGAAAATTTTTGAAATCAACTGAACGCGCTGCTATTTACGGTGAAGCTATATGCCGAAAGTTCCTACCGTAGTCCAATAGTAACGAAAAGTGATCGCTGATTGCTCCATACTGTAAATCTAAGCTAAAGTCAGCTCTACAAATTTCTGCCTAGAGCTTCTCGAAAGACTTCATGACAAGAGAGATATTAACATTCAGACTGTAAGCACTTTTTGGGACACCTTGTTCACAATCGCCTAAGTGGTTAAACGTTTAACTGTTTGCCAGCATAAACTGCATATGATCTGTGAACAGCACAAAATCGTTTCAAATGTGGGAAAAATTTGAAAACGAGGCAGCTTTTACTTATACAGACAAAAAGAGGAGTTTAGCATTAGCTTCATTCATGTCCCTTTCGCATAAACAGCCTGGACATAACTTTTGGGTCAGATGTCCTTTCGCGCGTTATTTTTGGAAAGGAAAAGCACATGAAATGTGACATGAGCTTGAGTAAACAAAAAAAACATATTGAACTATGACCCAAAATTCGCGAAAAAAACTTCTGACTTCAACTAATGAAAAAATAGAGATTCAAAGTTATAAATTTGATTACAACGCATGCATAAATAAGATTACAAGTATTAAAGTCAAAAGGATTAGTAAAGAGCGAGTGATGCACTTTTTTGCCGAGAAGTTCACATTGTGTAAACAACCTCAACTCAATCTGTCTGACTCGCATGAAGGAAAATGCATTCTGTTTAGTTATTATAAAATTTAAGGAAGGCATCATGCTTTAGTTACTGTACTGTAAATAACAGAAAATTGTAATGGCTTATGAATCAAAATGGAAATTAGCTTAAAGCATATTAGAAGATTGACCAAATGAAAAAGAAAATCTACAATAGACAATCTACAATTCCATTTTTTTGTAATCAAGCTATCAAAGTGACAAAAAATACAAGTTCTGACGATTTCTGTACGAGATTTCGCTCTATTCGGTTTCGAGGTCAAGAACTATACCGGTAGCGCAACTTCCTTGGTGCCCTTGATCCGTAAATTCCAAAGAAGCTTCATTATTAGCAAAAATCCAAGAATGAACCACCCAAAGAGTCAAAAACGAATTATAAATGCCATGTTTCATGAAGAAAATGGCAAGCAATCTGAAGAAGCTGTAGTATCTCTGAAACTATTAGGCAAGCATGATCATTATGCGAAAGAAAACATTAAACCAAAGATACACATATCACGAGGTATTGCAAAAGAAAATTGTTTCCGCTTTCAATGACATTTCCTTGAAAAAATGCCAGGCATCCAAACGTATTCTAATTTGGCTTGTGAAATTGAACTAAGCGTCAACCACTCAAGAACCGCAGCGCAGCAAAAAGCGGAAGGCAATCTTATCGATAACTAGTAATATATCTGTCAAATGCAAAGAAATTTTGCTGGAAAAGAAAAATTCAAACATACGATTTATATAAACGCATACCAAAAAATAAAATCAAACCCTATTATCTAAGTTGATCCACGATATCCGTAGCAAAAAATATAGAAAATTGGTTCGTATTTGTTCGAAGAAATATTCGATTTTTTAATTTGTAAAAAACAAGGTTTCCTTTTCACTTTGACTACCAAAAATTTTATTTATTCAACAAATAGAAGTCTAAGACTATCATAAAGGTACCCGATAAACACGCAAATTTTTCAGTTGTAAAGGACAGTTTGTAAAACCATAATATAGAGTCGAACCTGAACTTATGATTTCTTCACCTTTCCAGCAACCGAGTTTGAAAAAAAATTCTGTTTCTGCTTGTCTTTTCAAGCCTATATCTCCATGATATAGCAACATTTGTTTTTTTCAACAGCAAATAAAAATGTACGATTTTTTTCTATTCCAAGCTCTAATGAATCACGAACACATTACGACCAGAAAAATTTACGATTTCTAGAATTTTTTGGTACAAGAATTATGAACTTACATAGTAGTCTTTTCTTCTTCGACATTCTATGAAATCTCCAAGAACACTTTACTGAGACAGCCTTGCTCTAGTGACACGATACTAATCAAAGCTCCAAGAAAAGGAAAAGAGAGCAAAATGCAACTTTGGGAGCGAGTGAAAAGACACAAACCGCTTTGAACGTACAAGACGACACTTTCGTAAAAGCCAACAGTGATGCGTGCATTGAATGGAACAGCATAGCTGGATGAATGATACTTGCATGAGTCAAATTATGATGAATGATAGATGAATAAGCAAGGGAAATGTTTTAGCACAGATATTGTCTTTGAGAATCGCTCGATTAGCGATAGCATCGTAAAAAGTTGCAGAATAAAGTGGTTGGTAATCTCACATTAGTTCAACTGCTTTCTACACAAATTATGTGCAAAGCAGTTAAGTACTTGGTATGAATATCGCTTTCGAAATCTTTTTTGACATGTAATCAACGCTCTGTTTGAGGATATTACACTATATCACTTATGAGAAGGAGACTTGTTTGCAGAAAGTGCAGGTTACTCTTCAGTGTTGCACCAAGCAAAGAAGCAAAGCATTGACAATGAACATACGAAAAAAGGAGCTGAATAGTTTAGACAATGACGGGTACATAATTTACAACAGAAAATCGTGAGGGAAAATAATCCGCTACAATCAAAGGAAGCGATTCTGAATATCTATGTGTTTGCGTCACGGTGACTTTTTTGTTTGAATGGGTGCTAGACATCCTTGAGTTAAACGCAGTTTTGTTTGAACCGCTTTATTGTAATGCAAATTTCGACCACTTTTAGAGTAGAACAAATTTCAACAAAAGCGTGGAAATAAAAATATATTTGTCAACAAAGAGGTTTTCTCACTTCAAATATCAGTGAAGTACTCGCATGAAGAGATCATACAAAACTGCCGATTTGAACGATATATGATGAAGAGAAATAGAGAAGAAAAATGGTTCTCATCCTCGCCTCCAGCATTCATTATTTACTTAGTATTATTATATCAATAAAACATATTATAAAAGAGCTAAACGTCATTGCATGAAGCTTCGATTTGTTGAAACTTGCTGGAAACGACAATGGCAAACTTCGCTAATTATTTAACGGATAGGTTTTCGTAAACAACTCCTGTTAGCAATTCTATGCTATCAAAACATTCGTTATTGCGACAAGCTGACGCATACGTACTATGTTTATTTTTTTGTTTATTCCGTTGAACAAAACAAGAAATGAAAAACAAAACATCAAGCGGTGGACTTAAATTAAAGCTCATTCTGTAGGCTGGCATAGTTTTACCCTAAGACACTAGGAAACTCTCTGAAGGAAAGGCTCTAGTTAGTCTTTTCGGTTCGTTTTTTCTAATCTACCACACCAAATGTTGCCATAATATCCAATGAGTAAAGAATAGATGAGAGAAACAAAGATTCAGAAAATTTAATGAGCGTCTAGTGATACACAAAATACCAGTTCAAGTCTGACTTTCACAAATAAAAACAAACGCTAAGTTTTGGGTGCCAGAGCAATGTCATAAGAAAATAGATTGTAAAATCTACATCACTATCCACGAGCCCGGCATAAAATTACCAAACAGAGAATTGAATTTCTGAAAGTAGATGGATGACTTTCCAATGCTCGGCAGCCAATTCTCACCTGAGACTCTTTTTTGGTCTGAACTTTTGCCTGCCGCCTGAGTGACTAAAACAGGTGAGAACTCGTCTCGGATTTGGCAGCATATTTTTTGGAATAACCATTAATTACTTATAACGTACTGATTCTGAAGTCTCTTCAGGATGTAATTAAATTGTAGCCGGTATCTCCTTATACTTCAATTTTAAATGTTGCGCCATCTTTGTGCAGTCTACATATGTGATGCTCACCTTCCTCGTGAAGATTATGAAAATTTTAATTTCGTAGTACACACCAAAAAATATTTTCATTGTTTTGACATGGACAGCAATTACAAACAATTCGAATACAACCTCCAATATCTAACCATTTCTAAATTTCTTACACGCTGTCAGTTTTTTGAAGTTATCATTTCGATACATAAGCCTCGCTTCGAGTTATGGGGAATTCGTAATCTTATCTAAATATATTCAACAAAATCGTTTGGAATCATGTACATTCCAGCTATGCTGAAAGGCAAATATTAGGTTGTTACATAAGTCTTGTTACACTTAACTTCTAACGGCAATAAGTCATACACCTCATAGTCTTTGCAGGACTCCAAGGAACCATTCGATAGAGCAAAGCAAGCTCTACAAAATGATCTGCAAAAGTTCGCACCAGCTCCGACCCACCATAAGTTTGCAGCCAAAATCTGAGTCGTACTGAAATTCAAAAAATCGCAAAAAATTCATTTCTTTGTTCAAACAAATCCTACGGATCTCCAACTTGCTCACAAAAATTGCCCACTATTTCAAACACTCATGTGTACCGTTGCTGTA